AAATACTGTACTGCTCCCAGCTCCCTCCCTTACTCATTCGCTTGTGATAGCTCCCATACACATATAAATTTTTAATCCCTGCATGTTTTTGACCTTAGGAGAATTTTATATATTTAAATTTTTTTGCACATTCTGTATGAACATTTTATGTACTACAGTATATATGTAACAAAAAAAAAAAAAGTACATTACATCTACCCAAAAATATGGTTAAAAAAATAACAATGACACAGCTCACAGCTTGGAGGGAGGCTGAAAAACTGACACTGCACCCCCCTCCCAAGATTCCAGGGGAGGCAAGAAGTTTATATTCTCTTTATGTTTTTGACCTTACTGCAACAATCTTTTTTTTGTTTTTGTCACTTTTTGTATGAACAACTGTGTGTGTATGTATATCAATATAGGATAAATCACTGTATTGATTCTAGTCTCAGTGGCTGAGGAGTACACCTCACATCCATAGTTTTGTTTGGGTCTAACAAGCATGTGGTAACGGTGTAGCAGAGTCCCTCAGTCAGCACCCCATGACATGTGCCCAAATACTCTAAATAACTTGATAGCACACTGGCAAGACTCTTTGAGGTAACAAATATGTGGCTGCCACGTAAGCTGATTGTTGGAGATAATGCCCAGGAAATGGGTCTCTGTGACACACTGCACATGGCGACCATACAGCTATAGATTGGAATTGGGGTGAATACCTCAGAGGTGGCAGAAATGCATGGCAACAGTTTTCAAAGAAGAAAATCTGAAACCATACTCTGTGGTCCAACGAGGTGCATGCGATGTTCAGCCACTGACATGAGGGTTGCTGGCCTTGAGTTCAGGGATGCTAGTCTCCAGCCAGCTACAGTGTTGTTCAGCAGGGACTTCTAATAGAGGCCTGTTTCATCCACATTTTACATTTCATACTTCAATTATGTCAGTGTCACAGATCATGTGTAGCAGTTCCTCTTCAAATGGCCAGACACTCACCACACACTCACCACATCAGCACTGGCACTCTCACCAGCCACTTGCCTGTTGCTTATCTGTGCCTCCTATAAAATTTATAGAGCCAGCCAAAGCTCCCATGGAAGTCAGGCATATCCAGCAGGGTTGCAAATCGCTGTGCAGCACCATCGAGCTCAATACCGAGAATGGGAACATCACTGGCTCATTGTTGCTTGTACCAGTTACCGGGTATACACTGCAGCATCCACTATCTCGTATTTTAAGGTACCCATATGAGTATGGGAGAGGCTACCTTCCTCACCTGCACCTGGCATAAGGGTTTGTTCCTTAGCTTTCCTTTGGTATATTTCACATTGTAGATGGTAGACATGCCCAGTCCATACTCCTCCATTAACACTTTCACAGGCACAGTCTTCTCAAGTTTGTTCGGAATGGCTAATTTTTCCTTTATGGATAGTCTTTTCACTGGGCTGCTCCTCAAACCCTTGGTGCCAAGGGATTTTTCTGTAACTTTCGGTATTGTATACATGCAGTAAAGTACAGTACAGTACACACAAACACTACACACTTGGCTGCACTATGCAAACAATATTCACTCTGCTATGCATAGAACTGTACTTACACATACTAAAATAAATTAAGTGTTCATACACTGTAATCACTGTTTATGTCTTAACACTGCTTTAACATCGTATTCTTGGGAGATTGTGTCCTGGTATAGTAATGTACAGGAGAGCACAACACAGATCATACGCAAAAACAGCAGCATACAAGGAAACAACCTTGTGCAATGGTAGCAAGACTATAAACTAAACTCGTCATGATGCTAGTGATTTGGTGTTTGAAGAGATAAGCTGGGAGATGCATCAGCCAATCACAGGCATCCCATTCAGTCACAGGACAGTATTAGCCACTCACAGTGCATGAGCCTGCAGCCTAAGTTACCCAAGCAGCTAGCCTACCCAGCGTCCGAAATGCATCCCCACGTCGGAGCATGATACAATTTTTTGTAACTTTCATAAATTCGTTCCCATGCCTGGAACGGAGAGATTTTCTTGGAATTTTCTAGAAATGTGCATGATGCAATATCTAGAAATGTTAATTTTTTTTCTTCTTTTTTTTCTGGCTATTGGAGTATTTCTGGGATTGAAGACTGAAGCTAATGGAGATTACTGTACCTGTAGTGAGTAAACAATACGTATAATATCTGTTTTTCAGCTGCCTTTTATATTCTAAAATCTATCGCAGTAAAGTAGCGTACAGCATTGTTATTTACCTTACAGATTTTTTGTTGGTAAAACGCATTTGAGAAAATGGTGTTTTTTAGATATTAGAACTTCACTAAGAAAGACTAATTGGGTCAGACCCCAGTCCGAAAAAAGTTAATCTATGGAGGTCCGGACATAACCCTGGTTTCCTGGACAGTTTCTGGAAAATCAAATCTAAGTTCGGTTATTGATAACTGTTTTCACTGATATGACTGTTTCATACTGTTAAGTGCTTATGCATAGTATAAATAGAAGAAGTGCATCTCCTCTGGGAGCAGCCAGGTCAACTGTTATGTTGGCGCATTCCAACTCCCTCCCCTGAACCCCTCCTCCCCACAGGAATATCAACAAGTTCTTGCCAGAAGTTACAATTTCACATAGGAAAGGAATTGAACCAGTGGTGAACAGTGCTTAAGTCAGTGAGAACAACTCAACAGTAACAGCTGAGTCATACCCAAGTAAATCCTTCACAGAGTGAGGTCCCAGGTACCCAGTGATAACTGCCCGTGAGACCCAACAACAACAAGCGATGTGTTAATCCGTCCAAGATAGGAAGGCCTGGGACCACACCTCACTCATTTAACACCATCTATGAGGGAATTACTACACCACGTCAGGTCCCTCATAGGACCATCTGTGAGGGAATTACTATACCATGTCAGGTCCCTCATAAGACCATCTGTGAGAGAATTACACCACGTCAGGCCCCTCATAACACCATCTGTGAGGGAATTGCTACACCACGTCAGGCCCCTCATAACACCATCTGTGAGGAAATTACTGCACCACGTGAGGTCCCTCATAACACCATCTGTGAGGAAATTATTACACCACGTCAGGCCCCTCATAACACCACCTGTGAGGAACTACTACACCACGTCAGGCCCCTCATAACACCATCTGTGAGGGAACTACTACACTACGTGTCTGCTGTTCAACACCTCATCGCACAAGATCTACGTAACCTCCACTATAAACATTAATCTGTATGTTCACTGTATGTTCCTTTACCTTTCTTTAATGAAGGCTTTTGTTAAACCACCAATGTATGTAATAAGTCATTTTTGTCTAATGTACATTTTCAGCCTTCGGGCTGCAGAACTTTTCAATAAACCGTTAATTATTATTATTATTACACACATATCCATTTTGTGAGCAACTGTTTCTGCCATCAAGAGTTTTTAAAAGATATCCCCACACATTTCAAAAGCAATTACTGTATGGGCTAGCGGAAAATATGTAGACACAGCAAGCCTGCCAGCACATACAGGAAGTGTTCATTGATCTTTGGTTTGTTTTGTCCCTCACTCCATTTGATGTCCCTTGCCCACAGTCTCCATTACAATATTTTAAAATGAAAATGATGAAGTATACAGTACAGTAAATAATATCATCTTGATATCTTGTTTTATTTAATTTTCTCATAATAAATGGCATCTCTCAATGAATTTTTTGTCAGGTTACTATGTCGTGGAAGGGAGAGAAGATAAAGTGAGACATTCCCTTCAATACAATGGATCCTTTTGTTCTTAAGTCAAAATACAAATTTATTTATTATATTTTTTCTGTGTTTGAAGATTTTATATTTTATTTATTATGAATTGTACACCATAAGAGACTGATCATAGTAGAATATAATAATAATGAATCAATAATAGTCAGGTCAAAAGGTGGCCTTCACAGTGGGAGGGGTTGAGTGGGTAAGGAGATTGATTACCTTCTGATACAGCTTGTGCTTTTGTTTTGAAGTAAAATTACAAATTATATATCATATATTTTCTATTATTTAATATATTATATTACTTACGATGAAACATACACCATACGAGGCTGATCATACAAAAATATAATAATGAATATAAATAAAAACAAACTGTCGAATACGGCAAAGGCCAGCCCCCCTCCTGCATGTTTACTCATAAACCGTCATATCTTGTACCTATAAGCTCTCGTTAGGCCTACGAGTATATCAAATCTGAGTAGACCACTGTACACTATCCTCATTAAAGACAATAAATACTCTATATAAAACACTAGCCATCATTTATGGGTTAAACAGAACAAAATATATAAAATGGATAAACTTGTTTTTATTTACCTTTTTAGATGTAGATAATACACCGAATAGTGGAAATAGATGACGCACTTATAATGTTCAGGTACAATTTAGTTTGATGTACTTTTGAAGAACAGCACGTTAATTGTTTGGCACTTTAAATTTTAAACTGGATAGTAATAATTTTCTATTGAAATTAAACATTACAGGTACTGTACAGTATATGGTTCGTTTCACTTAGCATACTGTATATAGTTAATGTTAACTGTATGAACTTAACATTAATGAAGAAGCATGAGACGTTGATGGGATAGAGGAAGCCATCACAACACAAAAAGTTTGTGGTAAACCACTAAAAATTCACGTAAATGAGTTTAGGTAGGTAGTGAGGCACAGCACACTGGTGATATGTATGAATGTGGGACTTAGACTGAGGCACATGCTGCGCGACTCCCAGGCTTGTACAAACACACAAACCGTCCAGGCTGATGCACGATTTTCTGATCTTTTATTTTATTATGATTTTTTTTCAATATTTCTGATAAATAGAGTTACAGTTTTTATTGTTGTTATTTTTAATAAAGTTTGTGATATTTCAGTTGCCTAACAAAGGTTTAGTCACATTTCAGCACATCCTTAATTAAACACTATCTCTGTACTAGAACACAACAATATTAAACTTTAAAGGAAGCCTATGGTATATACAATCATACATACTGTACCTTTACAAGATGAGACAGCTCAAATCCCAAATCTTCATAGTCAAATGTTGCATAACCTGATGACAATGACTTTAAAGTGTCATAAAAGTCAACCACAATTTCATTCAATGGTAGTTTATACTGCATGACTACTCTGCTATGATCCAAATTTTTCATGCTGTGTTGAACTCCTCGTCGTCCCTGACACAGTCCCATAATTGCACCCATATAAGCATCTGAAAAATAAGTGTATATTTAACTCAGGACAAATAAAAGGAATGAATACCAGGATGCTCAGAGCTGCCATACATTTCTATTACACAACAGACTATCCACTACCCAAAAGTTTAAGGAGAAAGACCCCTTCAGAATTAATTATTTCCCCTGACACCTGAGGTAATCTGATTGGGGTTCTTGAATTCTAAAGTCATCTACCCTATTCGTTTATATTATATTCAAATGTAACAATAAATTTACAGTACTTTTACAGGGAGAACAGAAACTCATTGTAACAATCATTAAAGTAATGAAAAATCTACGTTGAGTCGCTCAAAAACTATCTTTACAAAATTGTGTTGAGAACATATGACACAAGGATGAAGGATTTTAACAACACTACTGGGACAACAGGAGTTGCAGTGTTCATTTTGAAATTCACCCCCACCGCCAGTAATGATAGTTTTTTGAGTGACTGTACAATGTATTTTTTAAACAAACTGTTACCGCTCCACCTCACCACTACGCCACGCAAACTAGTTCTTGTATGTTAATACTTCGAACCAGTTGTACCTATGTCAGATTCTTAAAATAATTGACCTTATGGAAACATTTGTATCGGCAGGTGTTCGTAAGTAGGGGACCCCCTTATACAACACCGGGAAAAGATTAACATTTCTAATTACCCGGTAAGTAAAACCTCATTATATAGGACTTCAATACAGTCATGCGCCGGTTAATGTCCTAGATACGTTCTTGGAAACGTGACGTTAACCGAAATGGACGTTGTCCGATCATCACATAAACTTTTTATTTATACTTACATGTATGTGGAATACTTTATACGTACATATACACTTTTACTCTTAAATCACTACTGTAATGTGATACAGGTGATTAATTTTTATCTCTTGTGCAAAATACATGACGTTTATATTAAAATTATTCGCTGTTTTACAAGGATTCCAGCAACGCCGAGCACATGGGGGAGAGAGAGGGTGGGTGGGAGCGAGCGAGGGGGCGTGGGGGGAGGGGAGGTAGTACGTTTGACTGTTGGCACAGGCCCAGGTCTAACGCGTGTATATTTATCAGTTCTTAGGTGACTAAGCTTCTCTCTTATAAAAAGCCAGTGAAATGACCTGGGTGAATATAATTAACATAGCTGGGATTCTTGTAACATACTGATTAATTTGAATATAAACATGCTATAATTTGCACTAGACAAAACAATTTTAGTACCGTAATCAAATTAGTACATGTGCACTCCAGCTTTGCACTAAGGTCATTTATTTCTATTATGTTTCTTTTAGTATGGTGTGTGCATGTAAATGGATGAAAATAAATGAAGAAATCTATGTAAATCTACCCAAAAATACAGTTGAAAAACTTTTTTTATAAAATGTACTACAGTACTGTACACTAATGTACAACAATTTTTATCTCTTGAGCAAAATATATGACGTTTATATTCAAATTATTGGCTGTCTTGCAAGGATTCCAGCAATGCAAATTATAATCTCCTAACTTTAGTCTGAGATATTATATAAGATAAAAACTGTAAGCCTAAAAGCCTGGCTGGGGGGAGGGACTGATGGCTCCGCCACCCAGCGAGGGGTTGGGGGGGTTGAGGTGATAAGTTTGAGGTGAAGGTCTCTGTGTGTTTATTTAACAGTCCTACTAAGCTTCTTTCCTTTTAAAATGCCAGTGATATGACCTAGGAAAATATAATTAACATAGCTGGGATTCTTGTAAGATACTGATTTATTTGAATATAAACATGTTGTAATTCGCACTAGACATAACAATTTTAGTACCGTAATCAAATTAGTACATGTGCACTCCAGCTTTGCACTAATTTATTTTACGTTTCTTTTAGTATGGTGTGTGCATGTAAATGGATGAAAATAAATGAAGAAATTTATGTAAATCTACCCAAAAATACAGTTGAAAAACTTTTTATAAAATGTACTACAGTATTGTACACTAATGTACTAAATTTTTTATATCTTGAGCAAAATATATGACGCTTATATTCAAATTAATCTCTGTCTTGCAAGGATTTCAGCAATGCAAATTATATTATCCTAACTTTAGTCTGAGATATTATATAAAATAAACATAAAGAAATCACCAATCTTTTGTCTGGGAGGGAGGGGGCGGGAGGTGAGGTGACAGAATGTCTGGCGTTTGTTTGTTTATTTCTTTGAGATAAGATTTGACAGTTGGCGCTGAAGGCCTGCCTGCGTGTTTATTTATCATTACTTAAGAGTGACTAAGCTCTTCTCATAATTTGCCACCCAAACGACCTGGGTGAATATAACTTACATTGGAGGGATTCTTGTAAGATAGTAATTTATTTGAATACAGTCAACCCTCGTTAATTCGGACTAATAGGGGGGAAGGGTGTCCGTTTTAGCCGATTGTCCGAATTAACCGATTTAGGGGTTAATATCGCATTATATTTCAAAGTCATTGTTTTCGTCACGATTTTATCCCACTTCCCACTGTAATACGTACGTCATTTCAGCAAAAATATTACATTTCCATGAATGCATTATATCAAGCACAGTATGAATAAAATACCACTGTAATATAACAGTATTTTAACCAAAACTATTAAAAAAACGAGTAACTTCTCTTGAACATCGGAAGGTTAGGTAAAATCTTTTGTTTTCGTCATGTATTTTATCCTATTTTACATTAAAATACATAACGTTTCAGCAAAACTACTATTTATTTCCGAGAATAAATTCATTCAGGCGCAGTTTAGGTAAAATATATGTGTGATGTAACAGTTTTTTAACTGAAAACGATTCGAAAACACGTACCCTCTAGCCCTGTTCAAGGAGAGGACTGGGAGAAGCTGTTTGGTGCTGCAGACGATGACAAGGAAAATGATTTGGATGGATTTTAATATTCAGAAATATGGTATTGTAGTATTTATTCAAGTCAATTAGGATAGAATATTATTGTAATACAACAGTTTTTTAACTGAAAACCAATCGAAAAGCGATTACGGTAACATCTTTTGAACGAAAGAAAGCAAAAGTCATTGTTTTCGTCACGATTTTATCCCACTTTCCACTGTAATACGTATGTCATTTCAGCAAAAATATTACATTTCCGTGAATGCATTATATCAAGCACAGTATGAATAGAATACCATTGTAATATAACAGTATTTTAACCAAAAACTATTAAAAAAAATGAGTAACTTCTCTTGATCATCGGAAGGTTAGGTAAAATCTTTTCTTTTCGTCATGTATTTTATCCAATTTTACATTAAAATACATCACGTTTCAGCAAAACTACTATTTATTTCCGAGAATATATAAATTCAGGCACAGTTAAGGTAAAATATACATGTGATGTAACAGTTTTTTAACTGAAAACGATTCGAAAAACACGTGTACCGTCTAGCTGATACTCAACAGCTGGTGGTGCGTCATGCGTCATTGTAAACAATAGGAGGTTGAATTTGATTACCGGGTATTATATTAAGTGTGAAATATCGAGAGGGTTTTTATTACCGGTATTTTTTGTAGATCAATGAGAACTGTGATACCGTATATGATATGATAAGTTAGCCTGTACTAAGAACTTCAACATAGACTACTGAAAACACGTTGTAAGGTAATTTAGCCTATTGTAAGTTGGTGAGCTTCATTTGCTGAAGGAACTGCACAACTTTTCATTACTATTTGGTACATATTTTACGTTTCCATTGTTTACTGGCAGTAAATGGTAAATATTTTTCATGTCTGAAGCTAAAAGTTGCATCCCCCCCCCCCCACACTAGTGGTGGAGATGTTACATTTAACCAAAAAGACGCTGGTGTTTTATCCCAGCAGTGGGTGGACCAGCATTTTAGCTTAAGGTCCGCATAGGTAATATTCCTACAAATCTAAAAAAAAAAAGTTCAGATTTTGTCCGAATTATCCGAAATCCGGATTAAAGGGGTCCGAATTAACGAGGGTCGACTGTACCTGTATAAACAAGCTATGTTTGCAATAGACATAACAATTTTAGTACCGTAATCATTTAGTACATGTACAATACAGGTTTGCACTTAGGTCCATTGTTACTGTACAATATTGACTAAATTCACTAGATAACGTACGCCTGGCAGCACAATCTATAAGAATACGCGATGCATACGTGACTGTGCCAGCTCTAGGGCCATTTAGGTTCGCTAGGTTCCATTATTTGAATGTATTTTTTTTCAATTTAAATTTTAATTGTTTATTCCTTGATAGAGGAAGCGGGATCCTAGTGCTGTCACTTGGTACCCCTGTACCATAACACCAGAAGCAACTGGCCAGTGTCACAAGTATATACAGTACAGTACAGTCATCCCTTGGTTATCGCGCCTAATTGGGACCCCGCTGATAACGAAAGTACAGAACCTATGGGATTTATTCTAATTGGTTCAGGCACCCAAGACCCAACCCCAAGTTTCCCATTTTACGACCATTTAGACCCACTAAATATATATATATATAATGTTATGGTAAATATCATAAACACACATAGGCATGGCTAGGTTTATTACAAAGTGATGAAAAGGGTACGCTTAATACTGTAGTCCACAAAACATGTAGCTATGCTTTTTTTATTTGGTCTCCCGTCATACGAGTCCGTTTTCTCTCACATCAGGATGCCTGAGTCCTCCGTTTTCTCTCTTAATCTTAGAGTGCACCAGAAACTTTACTATTTTTAGTAATGCCACAGAATTTGAAATTGCAACCCCAATTGCAACTGGGGTTGCAATTGTTGAGGCAACTAGATATGTCTGATTACAGCAAATGTGTTATTGTCAATTTGTAGGTGAAAGATTTTATCCTCAATAGATTAGCCAGGTTAACATTACCTGAGCAAATGCTTAAGAGAGCCTAAGTAAGGAAGCATATTCCTTTAACACATATCTGACCAGTATGGGAGGATCATCGTGTCTCCGTTAGAGTGCGACCAGGTGGTGATCCTTGGGCGTCCGTGGTTTTTTGGGGCACGGACTATATGCGGTCGGACGTTAACTGGTGCATGACTGTCGAATTCATTTTTTTAGGACTCTGAAATGCTCTGGTCACCCAGAAAAAGGGGGGTGGGAATTAATAATAAAAAAATGAAAATAAATCTTATGAAATGAACCACACTTACTGAATACTGTACAATGGTTTAATCAGATTTACTACAGGCCTACTGAGGACTAGGACACTTGATTATGTAAGCAGGATGGGGCTGATCAGGTGTTGCCGCATTCATCAGGTTTATTTATTTGTTGATTCAGTATTATATTCTCATATGATTGGCCTATTAGGGTTGATGGTTCATCATGATTAATATAACATCTTCAGTAATAGAGAAAAATACAATACTGTATGTAATTTGTAATATGACTTGAAAATAAAAGGATAAGATGCGTTCATGTGAGAGTTTTCAGTAGACCAACTTACAACAGGGGTCACTATAACACTCTGTATAGTACAGTATTTGATATGAAGATACCTTCTTAAAAACATTATTTACTACCTTTTAGTGTTATAAGATGACTCAGTTTGGCTACTTGTAGACTTAGACAAATGATTAATGAATAAACCAGGGTATATGCAGATGCATAATACTGTACAATATAATATTACTTACTGATGATAAATACACTACAATAGTGTTTATTACGTGGTGATAAATACATGGCAATAGTATTTATTAAGTGATGATAAATACACAACTGTACTGTACTAATCTATTAAGTGTTGAAGACAGACATTGTGGTAAGCCAATCAGCTGTGCTCTTCATAAACAAATGACTCATGGTGTTCAGTGTGAGATTCTTTTTTCAGGAAAGCTGATTCTTTTAGGATAATATTTTATCAACCTGGCAGCAAATGATCCTAAATTATTGAGAATTGTGGTGAAATTGCATAAAGAAGTGTTAAAGGAATCTTGTGGGAGAGAGGAGAGGGAGCCACCCTCCCATGCTACCCCACTCCTCCCCTCTGCTCCCAGATAAACATTTGTCTTCCACATACTGTACAATATACCCCTACACTTATTTGTTCTTATTCTTATCTTTATACAGTAGTTCTGTACAGTATACAGTTTTCTCTTTATTCATAAAACAATTTCTGTGGTTACTTGCATATAACATTGTTCAGTAAATAACAATCATCTCGGTGACAACAGACTTATACGTCAGATTTTCAACCGAGTGTTCTGTTTCATATTCTTTTTATTGTTGACGTAATATTCTTTTAATAACCTTGTCATAAACTTAAAGACCTTAGTTGTTGAAGTGCAGTAATAACATAACTGATTTTCTTTAACAGTCTCCTTGTGTGTTTTAATATTCTACATATTATTAATGAATTGTATTGTTCATTTTGCACACATAAACATTAATTCAATAAAAAAACATTCAGTAATAAACAATAATGAATCTTTTGTACATAAGAGAAATGACGCTGTTTACACGATTGCGCAGGTCTGAATGTTGACGGGCCGCTCAAACCCATCAAAATTCGAGTTTCCGCCGTCAAAATTTGAAATTGCATAGTGTTTTTTTTGTCCAAATAAAAAACGTTGAATTAAAAACTAGCGAAATTTGAGAACCTACTGTAATACATTATATATGTAGGAATGCTATAAGCTTATTTGAACTTTATGTAATCCGGAACGAAACATTTCTCTCACTTAATATTGAAAAACCCGCATCACGTACCACTTGAGCATGAAGGCTAAATAGATTTATCCATGCAATGAGAGTAACAAAGTATAATTGTATATTTTCATGCTATAGTTATATATAACACACTAACCAGGTGAGATAATAGTACCCAAGACAAATGGTTCACTTGTCTCGGCAATATGACTTTTATCAGGCCACAGCGATGGGTTAGTGATGATTATTTCTTCTCCACCGTACTCCCGTATAACTCGGGTACCATGCACTTTAATCTGAGGAAAGAAATAATAATAATAATAATAACAAATAATAATAATTATCACAATTAAGTGCAACAGTTATTCTGCAGTGCAAAGCATAAAATTATTATCTGAAGCAAATATAAAAGAAACATGGTCGAAGATGTGTACTGTACAGTATCACCCAGTGGCAGACTGGGTAAAAAAATTTATACCGGGAAAACTTGAAAAAGGGCCCACTCAAAAGGGTCCAAAAGGGCCCACTTAATCCTAAAACGTAGTCAAAGGAACCATCACTTTGGGGCCCACCGGGAAATTTCCCGGTATCTCGGTGGGCCAGTCCGCCACTGGTATCACCTCTCTATACCAAACTTCTAAACTGTATACTGAACCCCTCCTCAGATTTCAGTAGTACCTCTCTATTCCAAATGAAGTGACTACAATATAATATTGTAATACAATGCTCTAAGGTGACTTAGAAATAAAGAAAATATAATATAAAACTATAAAATAATAAAAATGGAGTAGTAAGCTAACTCTGTATGGGAGAGAAGGTAGGAAAGGGAGGTTGCTGGCTGGACTGAGGAGAAAATTCCCCCTCCGGTCTTGCAATCCCCTTGAAACGACAGTACAGTATGCAATTCTTTTATTAAGTTCATTTGGTGGCAGGTAAATAAAATATTAATATTGTAAATTAACAAGCCCTCCCCCCCCCCCCACCAAAAAAAAAACCCCACTCAATCCCAGATGAATTACTATGTCGTATTAAATTCTTGGTTATCTGTTTACATATAGAACAGCTGACCAGCCAGCAGCCAGGGAATGTACCCTGAACTTTTTATGTAATACAGTACTGTAATCCTTCACTAGCCATGGATTTTACTTTGTAGAGTAAAATACCATTTCACCAACTGTGGCATTAAATTTTGGGTATCCATGGTTTAGCCTGGCTATAAGATACAGTGAGTTCTGCTATAACGCGTGTTTTGACAACGCGAACTGGCTCTAACGCGATTTATGACTAGAGGAATGATATTTGTATAACGCGAATGCTTGTTTGCTGTAACACGATTTTTGCTTACTATTTCTCCAATTTTGTGGTATTAACTGTGAATATGGTAAAGAAGAATATCTCCAAGAAGCGTTCTGGCGATCGCATTCCGGGTGATGATCGTAAAAGAAAGGCTATAACCCTTGAAGAGAAGCTCGATGTTATCAACCTCAAAATCACCCTTCTCCCCCATCAAGTTATATTCATATTTTTTCAAGGTAAAGTGTTACATTTACTGTATGATTTCATTATTAGATATGAATGTAACATTTATTTAGACTGTGCTAACCTTTGTGTTAGGCTAACTACTAAATTTTTTTTTATTTCGAGTAGTAATCTGCACCTAACCCTATTTTCTCCATAAGCCCTGTAATTTCTATTACGTGAATTTCTATAACACGATGTTTTACAAGAACACAACTATCGCGTTATAGCAGAACTGTAGGTTGTTGATCTACTTACTCTATTCAGCCAGGGTAGCACTGGAGTTAATTAAAGGTGGGTCACTTGACTCTATATACTCTGGTAACCATCCATCTGTTAATGGGGGACCCCCTTTTTTAAGGTTAATGTGTTAGTTAAGAAGGGAAATGGAAAGAGATATCTTCCAAGTTAAATTTATTCAGCAAAGACGTGATATGAAATGATGTGTTCGTCCTATTTCTAACTAGATACTGTGGGGGAAAAAGAACTCGCTATACACCCACACGACTACAGGAAAACATTAAAATACATGTTACCATGCCTCAGTACAACACTTGCAGGGCCACCCAGAATAACCTCCGCACTCTATCACTTCAGTAGCTAAACTGTCTGTCTTTCTAACACTGCATACTCACTGCTGAACAGACATTCTCAGTGTCCAGTCAGGGCAGGGTTTCTTTCAAAGATCCTTATGTTCTGTTTCACCATTGGTTAGTCCACGGTATAGGTGGAGCTATCCTCATGTCACCTTATATAGGCCTACATCTGATCTTCCTTGAGGCTGTAACTAATTGCATCCATTCTGTTCTGACAAATGCTATAAACATTCTAACGGTTGCTTACATGGGTGTATGGGCGCAGGCATGTGTGGGAGTTCCTGTTTATTACATGGCATCATTTTCCCTGTGTTCCAATGATGAAAGACCCTCATAGATACTCTGTGCATGAAAGTAAATGGTTGACTAGTTGACAGGGTACATCAAGGGCGGAAAAATTGGCACAAGTTTCTCACTCATAGGTACTTTACCCATGAGGAAGACACAAGTTAGTGAGTCATCCTTCTCTGAATATCTTGAAGCAATATGGCCAAACTTTTGACAATTGTAATATTGAATAACCCAAAACCTCACAAAATAATTAATTACAAAATTAAAGGAGTGTCAGATATATTGTTAATAAGAAACTTTAAGAATTCACTTACTGGCATTAAATGACATGGAATGCATTTTCTGTTGAACATGTAACTATAGGAAAATATTCTCCCCCCAAAAAAAAAACTAACCTTGTAAGGAACAGAAGGTGTTGTAGTAATAACTTGAGCACCATGTTCTTGTTCCAACCGCTGGTTAAACACATCCATGTGAAGGAGGCCAAGAAATCCAAGTCTCCAACCTTGACCCAAAGCTGAACTGGAATAATGCCCTTTATAATGCATGATCTGCAATATTAAAGATATAAACTTAAATCAAAATTGCCTATACTGTACTGACAAAAACCCTTTGAAGTTTTGATTTCTATATCTATCCAAACAAGATGAAAAACTACAAATGTATTTATAAGTATTATTAGCTCTCCTTGATCACACTGCCTTACTGTTTATCACTGTAAACAATATTGTTTGTATACCGGCACAGTCTATGAACATTGTGTGCCCTAACTGTCTATATGCATGCTGAATGAATGTAAATTTGTAGAGTACTGTACAGTAGAATTCCAGTTATCCAGGCAAGTGGCAGTTTCAACTGACAGGCACCAAAATGAAATAATAATAAAAATAAAAATAACCCCCAAATTAGCTATAATAGTAAGTTTTAATACCACACACAACAGGGGTGAGCTCCCATATTTATTGCCACAATAAATAATAAAATCGATACAAAGCATATCATAAAATACAATAGCACATATTTCATGTAAAAAAAAACTTGCTTCTTCCACTCAAACCATCCTCTTGGCGACACAATACACAGACGTGTGGCTGTGGTTCTATCTGTGTGTATACCGTGACATCACATCAGGAGGGAGCGCAGCCATGCCTTTATAGGCTAGTAATCTACTGCCTCAACACACATTCGCTTCCCACATATTGTATATGTATATGTTACTTTTTTTTTGGAAAAATTACTGGCATGCATATTGGTGATTTTGCTAAATAACTTACAGACAGACAACCTATACTAACCTAACCTTATGATTAAGTTAGGTTAAGATGGCTTGTGTAGATTGATACACGGTGAAGTGGTCCTGTTCGATTTTTTTTAACTTTGGTTAGCCTGTTTTTAAGTTATTTTGCAAAATTACCAATATGCATGCCGGTAATTTTGCAAAATAACTGATTTAGCCCCCCCCCCCCCAAGTAACATATATACACTGATGCTCTTCATTTGTCTTATTTCATAGTTTTATCACATTTTCTTTATTTCAAAGCCACATTAGAGTATTGTAATGATTTTCCCAAAACTTTTATATTTTCATTACAAGTAACAATATACGGGGCGGCTGGGCTGGTGAGTCGGTTATGTAATTATAGCCAAGGCCTTGGCTATAGCCGCCTACTCACCTGTTCACTTCTCACATACGAGGTCTGTGCAAAAAGAAACCAAACTTTTTAAAAAAACAAATTTATTGCTTTACTTACAACTTGATCAGACTTGTCTCCTTCAAAGTACAGTACTCCCGTCCACTGTTGATACACCGCTCCCAAAGTTTTTTCCAGTTCTGGAACGCATCCAGGAACGCATTTTGAGGGATGGTGCGCAGATCTCGTAGCGAATTTTCTTCTATCTCTTCTATCATCTGAAATCGGCGACCTTTCAGGGTGGATTTCAACTTTGGGAACAAAAAAAAAAGTCCGCAGGGGCCAAATCCGGAGAGTATGGCGGCTAGTGGACGATAGTCGTCTCGTGCTTCGCCAAAAAGTCACGGATAAGGAGCGACGCGTGAGCAGGTGCATTGTCATGGTGCAGCATCCAGGTCTTGTTTGTCCACGCCTCAGGCCTCTTCCTTCGCACTGCCTCCCTCAAACGCTTCAGTACCTCCAAGTAAAACTCTTTATTGACTGTCTGACCACGTGGAACAAACTCATAATGAACGACGCCCTTCCAATAAAAAAAGACGATCAACATCACCTCCACATTTGAGCGACTCTGATGTCCAGATTTGGGATCGTCTTCGGTGGCTGTTCTTCCCCTTTTGAAACGCTGGTACGGCTCAAACAATCCTCCCCATAAGCCTGTTGCAACATTTGAAAAGTTTCCTTAAAAGTTTTTCCCAATTTCACGCAAAGACGTTGCTCTTCAAGATCCTTCATTGTTCAACTTGCAACAAATCGCCAAGTGCACTAAACACACTTTCATTCTAGCACATGTAGCTCGATGACGAATTGACATGGCTTGATGCGGCTAGTGTTAGACTAAAGGTCAAGGCCACCGCTACACAGTGCTCCCATCACGAGCACGCTGAGCCGGCTTGTTGGCGAGCTATTTAAAAAGTTCAGTTTCTTTTCGGACAGACCTCGTACATATCCATGCTCTTCATTTTTCTTATTTTATAGTTTTATATTATATCTTTTTTATTTCTAAGCTACATTAGAGTACTGTATTGTAATGATTTTTTGTCAACTTTTATAATTTCATTTTAAGTACAGTGAGTTACAATAAATGCGGCAGCTGGAAGGTGTTTTAGATGCGTTAGCTATTCCCGAACTGTCATTACAAAATACGACATTATACCGTGTCTTGGGAATAAGTGTTGTATAACACAGTCTTCAGAAAACAATAAAATAAGGAGAACTTTTATTTGGACACAATACAGAAAGAAATAGTGAAAAAAATTATGGAAAGACAAAAAAGGAAAAAAGTCAATCAGTCAACAATAAATAAGAATAACACAAAAAATTGGGCTCGTTGTAAAGGTAATTTCTCCCGGACTCTGAAACCACACTTAACAACCAGATCAGCTGTAAGCTTCTCCCGCAGCTAGGTGCTCGCATATTTGTACACGAAATATGACAAATTTCAGGCTTGTTTAGTCTTAATTTTTGCACTTGCAGAACTGTAATCAACTTGTTCATCCTTATTAAAAGTATCTTATGAGTAATGATATTAAGGTTTCAATCATATTTGAGTAATTATCAATATTCTTACACCAAAGTCACCAATGGCTAATGAAATCGGACAGTGCCCACTTAAAAACGGGCAGAGCCAAAACAGGTTTCAACTTAGTGCAATCCTTTTCAATTCTTTCACGTCATACGTTTTGTTTTTGGTCCTATCCAATATACTACCATATTTAGAATTATTTTTATTATTGTATCACAGTTTTTTATTACCTTACATGCCTTCAAATCTTCAATATTAATCAAAATATTCTCCAGAAGAGGCCATGATCCAGATATTTTCAGTGGGAGAAATCTTTGATTGGTTGTTAGCTATTCGGGTCGCTCGGGCGCTGCACAAAGCTAATGCCTGATCATGGCATTTTCTTTTCCCTCTCAGCAGAAGTGTCTGCATGGACAGAATAGCTAACGAGTTAGCTATTCCGTGCACCTAAGACGCCTAGAGTTAAGGCGATGGCACACTGAGCACTTTCCTCCAAACACGGTCCGGCCAGCAAAACAAAGAGCTGTTTAGCGTCACACTGGAATGTTTTGTTGGCCTGTCTGTCCAACACAACAAAAACAATAACAAAGCGTTTAGACGAGGTTTGCCATGGATCCCTCCATTACCACTGTTGAGGCCTTGCAGGGTAGTGCTATAGTTCTTTAATTGCTGAAGCAAGTGAGGCATCTTTAAAAGCTAAAGAATATAACAATGGGTGCATTGTGAAGTTTGTTTATAAGTGGCAACAGCTGGCTGGTCAAAGAAGACATCAGGTGGCATTAGGGTCTTGCCAAGGGAACTCCAAATATAAAATGGTTACAAGAAAGTTATCCTTCCTTACTTGATATTCCTTGCTCTGGGGGCTGGAAGTGCTGTGAAAAGGTGATGGGGTTGAGTCAACCATTCATCTTCTGCTGGAGGACAGCATCCAGTGCCATGGACAAGGGGAGTGGTGAAATCTATGGAGGCGTAAGGCGTATGTGTGCCAACAGGGTCAACCTTAATGGCACAAACAGTGTCTTCCTTAATGGTACAAAAGGCTAGGGAGTCCATGACAGGGTGACCTTCAAGCCCTTCAGGTGGCCATGCAGAGGGTAAAGGGTGACTGCAACCTTGGCTATGAAGTAGTGGTGGTAATCGACTATAGCGAGGAAATTTCCTTAATATCTTGGCCAAAGAAGGGACATCTCTGATTGTATACACCTTCTGTTGGAGTGCATGGATATCACCTGCCAACACTCAATTGACAAGAAAGTAGACAGAGGTTGCATAAAAACACACTTCCTGAGCAGAATCTTGATGCCATACTCCTGAAGGTGATGGTAAACTTGACGGAGGTGCTGACGAAGGTCCTTGCTACCTCTTGATGCCACCAGGATGTCATCAGTATTAATGTAAATGAAGTCAAAGTCTCTATGGACATGGCCAAGAATCTCTGGAATGTATTGAAGCCTTAAGGAGGCCAAAAGGCATTTGAAAAAATAAACTTGCCACGGAGTGAAAAGTGAAAGTCCTAGATATGAGAGATTGGGTATCTGTCCAAAAGAGTAACTGCAGAAACCTTCCCACTGGTTCAGATGTGGCTGTGCAGGAAGGATGCGTACTTGAGTTAAGCTGCCTCAATCATTGCTGATTGGCTGAATTTTCTAATGAAGAGTCCTGATTAGTCATTTGGGCACTACAGAAGCACTTCCTACATACTTTTTATCATATTCTCAACTTCATACAATATAAGTCAGTGACACATAAAACTTCAAAGGAATTTTCTGCTTACATATAAAAACATTCACTTAATACGATTCAGACATATACAAGAAAGTGTAACGCATCCCCTTGCTCACTGTCTGTAGGTAGAGAAATCTCGAGAAGTGCTTGTCAGTTCCTCCCACCACCTCCTCCTTGCTTCAAAATGTTTCCATAAAATTCTCAGCTGACACTACCACAGGACGCTGTCTGCCAGTGTAGAAGCCTCTAGAATTCATAGGGCGATCAGAGCAGCACCAGTCAGTACCTCCCGCTACCTCTCTCATGCTAGGTGTTCCCAGAAACATCTGCTAGATGCCCACAGTAGAGCCAATCACTACCGAGTATCGAAAGTCCTGCCTCCACAAGCTCTACACTCAATACAAGGTTTTATAAGCCGTTGCATGAATTGGGAGCTTAGACACTACTACAGATTTACTTGACTTCACATCTTCCTCCCCTCTCCTCAACTTGTCAACCTGTGGTGAACCTCTCCAGTGCATCCTCAAGTATCATCACGGCCAGCTTACTTAATGCTAAGTCCTCTTACTTATTCCTCTTTGGCCAAGGGACGTGTCAGCCTTAGATACAGGCTTAGTGCTACAAATGTGTGTCCTATCTTGTGAACTTATCCAGTGACAATTCTTACTAGGACAACTCTCTCCCTGGTCAATGATCCCAGTGGTACGTGTGTTACTTACATTACAAACCATCACAGTGTTCTGAATTATTTTTTCTCTCTTATACATAAATATATTTAACTGTTTGTGAAACTTCATGTAACTTCTTATTGGTAAATATTAATATTAGTTATAGTTTTTAAGAAATATTTGTATATGTTTGACTATCACCTCTCATAAGTGATTTACTCCAACCCTAATAATATTATTTGTTCACGGGTGGAATTTAGGGTTAACGTTCTTGTTTCATTTGATATTTTAAGTAAGTTTAGAGTTCTTAATTTCCCGTTCAAGAATTAAATTAGTTAACCATAAATTTTAACCCATGAAAAAAGATTATAGCTCAACAAGTTAAAACTTTCTCAAATTTGAGGGACTAATTTGTAAATGAAAGAGACAGCATGAAGGATTTCAGCTTCAAGTACATACCCTATACACAGTAAGGTTTACCAATATGATTCAATACTTTCAATTTCTGAGGCCTTGTTCTTTCAAGACTTAAGGGTGACCACTAATAATATATTACTAAAATAATTATGGCATATTTGCTAACTACATCAACATGATAAGCATTGCTTCCATGGTCATGCAAGCATCTAACAGGTATATTACTCTATGTAAACACATAACTTTGGTGAAATTGGAGAACAGTTACACTTACTACCTACCTTGATTCAACACTAACAGAAACACTTCCATCATTCAAGCAAAGACGCTCTATGGCAGCTCTGAGTGCTGGATGATCTCTCTGATCCATGGGGTACACACCACCAAAAACCTGAAGTAAAGATTTCAAAAAGAACTGATTCACATAAAGATTTTCTTAACCAAATCTCACTCTTTTCTCACACTACATTTATAAACTTTCTATAAAAAATTGTAGCACTCCAGCCACTGAGTAATGATTCTTCTATACGTTTGTTTTCACTCCTTCAACATTTGTCTTTGTAATTTTATGCAGTCTATGGTGAGGAAGGCAGGTGTGATCCATCTGAAGTGCCTCTATATATGTAACTCACGCATTTTGGACACATATGCATGTGATGCATATCCACATCTGCAATCTTATTTTATAAAAAAATTTTTTTACTCTACTGAAGAAATCAGTGTTTAGTGCTGTGCTTTGCATAAATTAAAATAAACTGAATTCAGTACTTGGTGTTTCAGAATATGGTGCCTACATTAATTGAAAAATAGAAAGTTGTGGAAAGAATCACTTCAAAATATGATTCAGTGATGACCATAATCAAAGAATAAAGGATATGAACCTATTAATGAATGGATGCACTGGAAGGATGGACATCACTGGAAGAAAAGTTATGTAGATGTTGAAAGAAAACTGAGACTAAATGAGTAAATGCTGCTAGTTAATCAGTATAGTCGGTCAAAAGAAATCATCCACTCCACCACCTAACCCCTGTGCCTAGCCAGGTCCTTTCTGCACAGTAAGACACATGGGGTGGAGAAGGGGAATGGTCAACTTGGGGGAGGGCCATTTGATGCAAGTTCCTCATCAGAGAGAGAGGGGGATTGAAGAAAGCAGGGATATTCATGAAAGGAAGGGAAGGGTGGATGTAAGTTTTTTTTCCCACTATATTATCTTGGGTTTACATGCTTGACAGAATAATGGATGAGGATCCTTACTTTATGATTAAAATATGCCATCCATTTCCTTACTTATAATTTTTTCAGGATGTTTCAGGTTTTAAACAACAGTAATTAGATATTTATAATAATATTGATACGAGGAGAAATATTGAATATGGGGGAGGAAATCACATTTATTTTTAATATTTACCAACACAAGTCATACAGAATGAAAATAGCCCAACCAATCTCCTCCTTGCTTGTCAGTCGTCGTCTCCCCGGCCTAAAATTATATCATTTATATGAATTAGAAGTTCAAATATGTTTTGTTTACATTACACACCGAAATTAGTCATTTTAATAGATCAAATGTCAGCTGGTTTCCCAAGTTCCCAGACTCCTCCCAGCAGGTTAACCAACGTCTCACAGTGAACCCAACCTCCCTTGCAATTTGACACATTGTATCCAGCCGCACAGTCCAATAATTTGCCAATCAACATTCTTTAGTGTTCCATCCTGGGCTGGGTGTGAAGCGGTGGCCAAACACCATTGCCACTACCACCTCATCACCTCGTACTGATTTTCACAACTCTAATAAAGATATTACAGGGTGGACAGGTCACATTGTATCCAAAAATTCGTTCTTTTTTATCAATTAATATTGATTTTTTTAAACGGTAGTGGCGAGGTGGAAGTGATCAAGTTACAATTTTTTCTTAATTTTTTCTTCAAAAATATTTTCTTCGAGAACAGTAGTGGCGAGAGGTGGAAGTGATTAAGTAACAGCCTCGTTTAGTGTTACTGGTAGTGAGCAAGCCACGCCCCCCTCTATCTTATACAGTATTGTTATATCAGGGGCTTTCCCTGATGGAAGCCAGATGCCTTATCAACCCTAATGACACATGACCTGCCAAAAGCTCACTCACATTCCTCACCAGAATCTCATGTAAAGGCATAGATAACTAAGGGAAAGTTAAGTACATATTTCACCTCCCCAGATACCCCGCACTCCTGATCGGTTGGTTGTTTGGGCTTTAGACCTATCAACTGCCAGGGTCATTAAAGTCCTTGACTTGCACCCTCCTACCTTACCCGAGTCCAACACTAGCTCTCTTCCCACCAATACCTCCCTCACCCTCTTGTGATCCGCCTTGAGCTCACAGGTATGGTAGTAGAAGGGGTGGATGATTACTTTTGACAGCAACTGTACATAAATAATAATCACAGTAATAAAATTTACCATAACAAAATGGGTTTATCTCCTGCACTTAAATAAAAAGCTCTAAATCTGAAAGCCCATTTGATAACCTAAACATCAAAGATTAATTTATGAATATACAATGGCAAAGTTTAGTGCATTTGGCCCAAGTATTTAATAATAATAATAATAATAATAATAATAATAATACAGTCAACCCTCACTTTACGCGGTTAATGTAACCCACAGGGTACCGCGGAAAGTGAGAAACGCGTAAAGTGAATAACATAACATATGGGATTAAATGAAAAAGAGACCAGCTGACCCCCAAACTCCACTTTTTCCAACACAATACCTATGTTCTAGTAAGAATAACATCTTAATTTTATGATGGTACATGCACACAATTAATACTTAAGAGAAATAGAGAAATACAGTCGCCAAGTTAATGTCCATTCAAATAATGGACTCAACTCCCTCCCCCTCTTCTCACACTACACTCGCTGGCTCTTCCCTCTCTGAGAAATTTTGGGGGGAAAACCAGGTATAGTAATAAATAATACCTCAAACTAAAGTTAGGATAATATAATTGACAGTGCTGGATTCCTTGTAAGACCAGGAATATTTTGAATACAAATGTCATATATTTTGCACAAAAGATAACATATTTACTCAGAGTAAACATTATATCTAAAATTTGTATGTCTAATGCAAAATCTATGATGTTTATATTCAAAATGATCATCAAATTGTAAGAATTCCAGCAATGTAAATTATATTCTGGCCGGATAATTTGTATGAATTTTATGAGCTAAATAAAAAAATTATACTTCACCCGTGTAAAGGGGTACACCCACCGCGGAATGTGAGCATCCTGGGTTCTGGCAGGGCACCGTGTAAACGTGGAAACGCGTAATGTGGGACCGCGTAAAGTGAGGGTTGACTGTAATAATAATAATAATAATAATAATAATAATAATAATAATAATAATAATAATTGGTACAGCATGTCCATATAATTTGAGGATTTTTAATTTGCGGCCTTCCATTATTCGCGGATGACACCCTGGATGTACTCAAGAAAGTCTGCAGGTAGTTTTAAAGTTGGCGGCATTTTTCAGCTGGGACGGGAAGCCCGCGAGTTTTATGGCATCCCAGGAGGCTGGGTCATGCGTGCTCACTCCGCCTCAGTCCAGGTTAAATATTTGTCAATTTCACGCGTATGCTACTCTGCTCTCTTAACAACTGTGCTCCTTGTGCTTGTGGTGGCTCCCAAACACCCTTAAGCACCTTCATCCAGCTGCAGGAAGGTGTCCAAACAGGTGAAGAGAGAAAAGGTCATGTATTTCTCCCACACTTATGCCTGGCAATGGGAGAGGGTAAGGGGAGAGTGACTGCTAGTTAGCACATCGTCTGCAGTTGTAACTCTCCTCACTCCCTGCCATACTTCACTGGATTTTTTGTTATTATAAGTGATTGTAGCTAAGTCAACTCATCACTGTAACCACCAGTCTACTGGGCCAAGCTGTGAGGTGTTATGGTTTTTCAATTCTTATTTTTGGGTAGAAATACGTAAATTTTTACTCAGTTACATGCACATACCATCCTACATAGATATTGTGAAAAAAGTCATTAAGTCCCCACTGAACGAAATGGTTAGGTTCCACTAAAACGCTTTCGTTAGGTGGATTACGTTCATCAAAACCATTTTTCCCAAATAAATTAATGTAATGGAGGGGAGGATGTGTTTCTGTACTAAGCTTTGTGGTAGATTAATGTACTACATTACTAAGGTCTGTGACAAAATAGCAATTGTAACACATCAAAATACTGAAGATAAAAACAATAAAACATGTAAAACATAAAGGTACATAAACAGAGTTGTCAATTGTTGTTTGTGAGAATATGGGAATGACAGTCATAGTAATGAGTAGGGCCCGGATAGTTATGCATTTGCATATTTCATATGCAAATGCATATTTTGCGTGATTTCTATGATAAGTGCATATTACCTAGATAACTGCATATAAATGCATATTTTGGTAAAATATTCATCTGGCAGTATCTCTTTGTTGCCACTGAATGAGCACACGTGGTACTGGGAGGTGAGGTGAGGTGTGGTTAGGTGAAGTGAGGTGAGGTCACGTCGCTTTAATCTGTCGTTTCCACACCTGGTCATGACTCATTGGACTAGTGAGTTAGTCAGTCAGGAGCAGTGCTGCTGTGTGGAGCTACTCTCTTCTGCTGCTCGTGAAAATGCCGAAAGTACAAAGAAACCAAAATGAAGTGCTGAGATCATATGTAAAGGAATTTGATGCATTTACTACTGATGGAAGTGTACTGTTTTGTAAATATTGTGAAGCACCAGTGACAGCGAGCAAGAAATTTCAAGTCCAACAACACCTTAAAACAAGCAAGCACATCCGACTCGAAGCTGTTAAGTCCAATAGTGCACAAAAGGAGCAACAACTACTTCTTGCATGTTCCAGTAAGTCAGGGCCTGATCGTTCCCAGTTCAACGCAGATTTGTGCAAGGCATTTGTTTCAGCGGATATTCCATTGCATAAACTGAATAAGAAGTGCCTAAAGTCATTCCTGGAACAGTATACTGGAAAAAAGGTGCCTGACGAATCAACCTTACGTAAGAACTGTCGGTGAGATGCAGTGGGTGGGTGGGAGAGAGGAAGGAGGATGGTACTGTAAGTGGTGAGATGGTGATGCACCAGTCGGTTTGTTTGGTAACACTGGCTGCAGGACTGCCAGACAATTTAACAGCTGATGGCTACCCACAAAATTGAGTGTAAGTATAAATGAACAACATCATATTTCTTCTTCATTATGTTGCATAAATTTTAAATTATGGAGTGCGAATTACAAATAAACAATGTACAGTATTGCACTATCATGAATGGCAGTCATAGAATGAGTGAGAGAGACAGTGTGCAGGATGGAGAGAGGATGTCCTGACTACCAAGTAGGACCCTCAGCATCCAGAACTGGCTCACCTCAGATATTCTCCATCCCTGGATGGGGTAGCTCCCTACTGCCAAAACAGATGAAAAATAACAAAGCCTCAGGTCCTGATGGAATCTCAGCTGAGGTGTATAAAGCAGGAGGACCTCTGCTTACCAGCCATCTCCACTCTCTCCTGGAGAATATATGGGAAAGGAGGAAATCCCCCAAGCTCTTAAAACTGCCTCCATAGTCAATATTTATAAGAACAAGGGAGACTGGTCATACTGTGGCAATACCACGGGATCTCGCTGCTGCCTGTAGCTGGCAAGATTATCTCCCGAGTCCTCCTAAACAGACTTCTTCTAAAGGCGGAAAACTTCCTCCCAGAATTTCAATGTGGTTTTCGACCATAACATGGCACCACTGACATAATCTTTGCTGCCCGCTAGATACAGGAAAAGTGCAGAGAACAGCGTAGTGACCTGTACATGACCTTCATCGACCTAACCAAGACCTTCGGCTTGGTCAACAGGGAAGCCCTCTGGCGGACACCTCAGCTGTTTTGGCTGCCCACCAAAATTCATTGGCATTGAGGCAACTCCACGATGGCGTGAACAGCAGTGTTCTGCACAATGGCACCCAGACTGAGTTCTTCCCCATCCAAACAGGGGTAAAATAAGGTTGTGTAATGGCACCAACTCTTTTTCCCATCTTCTTGGATACCTTCCTTACTCGTGCCAGTACCAATTTAGCCGGTGGGGTGGACGTCCAGTACAGGATGAAGGGTCTGTTCAACCCCATAAGATGACTCCAGGCAGGATCAAAGGTGTCAGCAGCTTCCATTACTGAGCTTCAGTATGCAAATGACCTCACCCTTGTCACTCACACTGAACACGACCTACAGGAGATCCTGAACACCTATGCAGATGCGTATGCACACTTTGGCCTTGGGGTGAACGTACGTAAGACTCGCATTCTCTTTCAGCCTGCCCCTGGTTCAGCCACACCTCCACCATCCATCCAGCTTAATAGTACTGCCCTCTCTAATGTTACCCAATTTCGGTATCTCGGCTCCCACCTGTCCACCACTGCAGACATCGATGGAGATTCAACATTGGATCAGATGTGCATCTCAAGCCTTTTGGCAGACTCCGTACCCGTGTCTTCAGCTGTAGGGAGCTGAAATTATCTACAAAGTTGCAAGTATATTGAGCAGTGGTCCTCCCCACTCTGCTATATGGCAATGAGACATGGGTCACATACAGGAGGAACCTCAAGGCACTTGAAAACTTTCAACAACGTAGTCTACGTTCCATCCTCCGAGTTCGCTGGGAAGACAAAAGAACAAATGCCAGTATTCTCACTGACACCAACTGTAGGAGCATCGAGGCTACCATTATCCATGAACAACTACGTTGGACTGGCCATGTTACCTGCATGGACGACAGTAGACTACCAAAGCAGCTACTTTACAGTCACCTAACGAATAGCAAATGTAACACCGGTAGGCAACTGAAAAGGTATAAGGATAGTATTAAGACAAACCTGAAAAGTGCCAAATCGACCCCCTCACCTGGGAGACTATTACTCCACACTGCAACGCTTGGAGGTGCACCACACAAGAAGGTGTCAATACTTTCGAGTTAACCCGACTGCATACAGAGGCAGACAGGCGCCAACGCCGGAAAGACACAGCTGCAGCCCCTCCCGCACTAGATGTAGCCCTCCACATGTGCAACATCTGTGGACGACCCTGCCGGTCCCGTATCGGCCTCTTTAGTCATCTCAGAGCTCACCAACGAAGGTGACATCCTTAATAACTCATATCATTGTATCAAAGCTGGATTATTGTCATACTCGATTCCGAGTGGCAGCAAAGTAGTAGTAGTAGTAGTAGTAGTAGTGTGTGTGTGTGTGTGTGTCTACACACACACATACAGTATAGGAAATGAAATAATTGTCCTAAGGACAAACACAAAGGGAATATATATTTCTTTGCACACAAGTAAAAAAATGTACACCCCCCCCCCCAGCCAGCAAATTATATTCACAGATTTGGCAATTTGCGGTCATTTTGAAACCCGAACTCCTGCGAATTTTAAGGGCATGCTGTACAGTGGTCCCTCGGTTAACGAATTACCTTCCATAAGAATCTTCAATTCAGTTAACGAAAAAAAATTTGATTCACCAAATCCTTACAAAAATCACATTTTATTTTAAGCATCAGTTGATAAGCTGAGGAGTTACTCAGCCAATTCAGTTATCTCTTCTATGTTTACATTCAAATCAATCACTATCTTATAAGAATTCCAGCAATGCAAATTAAATTCACCCCGGTCACTTCTATTAAATTTTATAAGCAAAAAAGAAAAACTCAATCTAAAGGACATAAACTAACAATTAAATACTTCACGCCACAGGTGCCAACTGTCAAACATGTCACTGTCACCCCTTCCTCCCTACCCCCCCCCCCTCTTCCCGAGAAACATTTGGGGAAAAGCACTAGGCTTACAGGTTTAATAATAAATAATATCTCAGACTAAAGTTAGGAGAATATAATTGGCATTGCTGGATTCCTTGCAAAACAGCAAATAATTTGAATATAAATGTCATATATTTTGCACAAAAGATAAAATTTTTGCTCTCTCTAATAAAATTCTTAAATTAGATCTAAAATTTGTATGTCTAATGCAAATTTTAGCTTGTTTATATTCAAATTAATCACTATCGTATAAGAATTCCAACAATGTAAATTATATTCCGGCCGGGTAATTTCTATTAATTTTATGAGCTAAAAACAAAAATCTCAAGTAAATAAACAAATTATACTTCACCAGACACTATCTGTTAATCAAAATACACCACCTCCCGCTCCACCCCTCTTACTACGCTCTCTGGCTACCTCCCTCCTTGCCTTCTCAGACAAAAGTTTCGTGTTTTCTTTAGGCTTTAAAGTGTTTATTTTATATAATATCTCCGACTAAAGTTAGGATAATATAATTTGCATTGCTGAAATCTTTGCAAGACAACGAATAATTTGAATATAAATGTCATATATTTTGCACAAGAGATAAAATTAATCACCTGTATCACATTACAGTAGTGATTTAAGAGTTCCAGTGTATATGTACGATATATATAGTGATTTAAGGGCGATTTAGGGGAATTTTAGGAGTGTTTCTGACTTTATGCATTTTTGGCTTTACTTTGTATATACTTTTCTGTGAGGTGGAACCAATTACCCAATATCCCATTGAAACAATGGTTTCGGTTAACAAAATTTTCGGTTAACGAATGACCTTCTGGAACGAGTTGTGTTCGTTAACCGAGGGACCACTGTATTTTGTTTCTCAAAAGTGCCTCTTATTTTTTTTAAACAAAATTTACCATCACTCAACATACAAATATTTTAAAGACACTAATGACAAACACTGAGCATTAAAACAACGTCAGCATGTTATTTCCAAAGAACAATGTCACTAAAGCCCCAAAAATTTTGTTTTCTACAAAATCAGCAGGATCATATGCCCTTGAAAAAAGAAAAGCATTTAATTGCCTTTTGAAAGTCTCTACAGCGTCCAACTGGTTCTGGGAGATTGGCATCATCATTAATGTTTTATAACCATTCTTCACACTTGCATGGGTTGGCTGTAATTTCCTGATGACAGCTCTCCATGCTGCATGGTCTCTTACAGTCTCTCTCGTAATTTCTTACAACCTCTCCCCATGTCATTTATGGCCTGTGTCTGGCTCTCTTCCCCTCCACATTCAGGCTCATATACCTCTTGACCCAAATGATTTCATCCATTTTCTCGACTCAATACCCATCCATCCTCTTAACACTCCTAAGTTTTCATACGCAAAATAGCGTATGATTTAAATTATCGCTTTAAGGTTTTCATACACAAATTTGTGCATGAAGGAAAAAATCTAAATAAATAATTTTATGTTGGCGTATGAACACTAGACATGCAAGAAGCATACTTGGCAACATTAGTGCAATCTGGTAACTATGTAGACTGCACTCCAAGGTTACCACACTTTGAGATGTGAATTAAGGGAATGAAGGTTAAATTTCTAAACTAATTATATGAGCATCTCCAAAAAATTCATATAGAAGTTGAGTTGCTTCAGAGACAGAATATAAAGAACATTGTCCACTTTATGCACTATTAACAAAGTGTGCTGACAGTTAACCATGAAAAGTATTCTGCACTGATCACCAACCTAAGAGGATAATATCCTGGATAGATTTGTCAATTTCAAGGATAAACTGCAACTGTGATTCCTTGCCTTGTTTGGCAGCACACACTGATGCCAGCTACTTTTTTTTCAAAGCTGAAAAATGTCAAACAAAATTTAGATCTCTCCTGACAGACAAACATTTCTCTGGAATACTCTGCATCACCACTAAACATACCATAGGTTTTGCTGCCTTGAAACCTTGGAGGGGTTTGCACACTGCACCCTTAAGATGGAATGTGTCCCCAACTTGTGCCTCTTTTGCTGACCGTATGTTGGCTGTGAAATATCCAACCTGTCCTGTAAACCTGGCAGGGTGATAATATTTTTAGATTTCAAAACTTAAAAAATAGATAACTAAGCATTCAAAAAAAAAAGAAAAAAAATTACATTACCCTACTTATCTGAGAAAACTATAGCAAATAAAGTATGCCCCAACTATACACATCAAGCTAATGAGTCCCGAGAGTTTGCAATGAAGATCTTTACGGGGGAAGTTGAGACTGCGATATAGTAGTACCCCGATTTACGCGATTTACGCGGTCAATTGAACCCACAGGGTACCGCGGAAAGTGAAAACCGCGTAAAGTGAACAACAGAACATATGGGATTAATTCCAATAGAGACTGGCCCGACCCCCAAACTCCACTTTTTCCTTTTTCCGACACAATACCTATGTTGTAGTAAAAATAACATCTTAATTTTATGATGGTATGCTCACACAATTAATATTAAAGAGAAATACAGTCGCCAGGTTAATGTCCATTCAAATAATGGACTCAAATCCCTCCCCCCCCACCTCTTCCCAGCTCACTAGCTCCTACTTCTCTGAGAAATGTTTGGGTGAAAACACTAGATTTTAAAGTATAGTAATAAATAATACCTCAGACTAAAGTTAGGATAATATAATTGACATTTCTGGATTCCTTGCAGGTCAGGGAATATTTTGAATGTAAACTTCATATATTTTGCACAAAAGATAAAATATTTGCTTTGTGTAAACCAAATTATTACATTAGATCTAAAATTTGTATGTCTAATACAAAATCCATGATGTTTATATTCAAAATGATCATCATATTGTAAGAATTCCAGGAATGTAAATTATATTCTGGCCGGGTAATTTGTATAAATTTTATGAGCTGAATAAAAAAAAAAAATTATACTTCACTGTGTATATGAGTAGATGCACCGCGGAAAGTGAAAGTCCGGTTCTGGCAAGGTACTGAAAATGCCTTAGGGACCACCATAATAATGCTGTTGGAATTACATGAGTGCAAAAAACATTAATATATTACAGTGGGGTATGCTATAACGAATCTAATTGGTTCTAGAACCTTGTTCGTTATAGCATTCGTTCATTATAGGATTAATCCGTTCCAGGCCACCAAATACAACCACTTAACACTGAAAAATATAATATAAAATTGTAAAAATTGTAAAAAAGTGCATAAATATGCATCTAAACCCCTGAAATAACCAATATCATTAATACTTGTAATAAAAAAACAATAAATTAGTAAAAAAAAAAAAAAAAAAAAATTTTTTTTTTTTAAATAATGTTCGTTGTAGGAGTTTCGTTCGTTATAGCATTCTCAATTTTATAGGTAAAACAGTTCGTTATAGGAATATTCGTAGTAGGATCCGTTCGTTATAGCATACCCCACTGTATTACATACCGGTATACTGTACAGTATATTTTCCCTCTTACTGCATATGTACAAGATTTATGGTGGAATTTTGAAACTGTAGTAGTATTAGTTAAGACTCTGCTGTGCTTGTGACATTTGTTAAAAGAGCCTAATGCTTCCCATATTATATCTACTGTATTAACAAAAGAAATTCTATGTGTAAATGATAACAACAAATATGGGAGAAATATAAATGGTTCAGCATTTTCTGATGAAAGTGGTTAAATTGGCTTTAATTCTGTAGACATAGCTGGTTGCATGACACAAGTTACCCAGTCCAGCCTTGATTAATTATGAAATAAGATTTCATCATCCTACTTTGATATAAAAACAAGTTACTTAATTATTTTGGCAATAAACAGCGATCTACAATCTTTAGAGCCAAGATAAAGATAGGGTCTCCTGCACTTGGACAAAATTTTACACATTTCAGAGAGTAATCAAAGTACTGTACTTGGAGATATTTAGTGATGTCAATTTAACCTCTTTCTTAAATATATAACCCTTTCCTGCTATGATACAAGGTGGCAGGACAACTGATCATATCTTGGCAGGATGCTAGTCCACTGAAAGGCTGTTCCATCTTCAGTATTTGCAACTGATAGTAAATTCATAAAGACAATGATTGGAGAAAGAAAAGTAAAGTGAACCAAACAATTTACTGGATAAGGAGTTAAGCTATATATAGGGTGTTTATAAAGTTCCTATCTATTTCAGTGAAATAATGGTTTTTATTGATTTTTATTGCAAACTCCATGAAGATGAATGTGCAAGAATGTGTGCTTGTGGTAACACTGTGTATTCATGGAGAGAAATTAGAGGGAAGTTTCAAATAAAATTTCATAAGTCAAGTCCTACAGACAAGACAATACGCAAATTGTTGAATAAATTCAAAAGAACAGGATCTGTTAATGATGAACCAAGATCTGGATGTCCACGTGTCCCAGAAGATGCTGTAAATGCAGTACGAAATGCTACCGTTTTATAATTGAATTTAACATAGTTACCCGTAATTTCACTGAAATACATAGGGACTCTATGAATACCCTGTGCAGTAATTATCTGATACGCACTAAGTCTTTAACATCTTACAATTGTGGCACTGTAGTTTCCCGAGGTGTAAGAATTCCCAAGTCTTTAACTTCATAAGACTTTCCCGAGTGTGAAGATGTGACATGATCTCCTTTCTTTAACGTACCATCAACCACCAATATCAAGCACACAACTCCCTGAAATAAAAGGAAGAAATATAACGACCCTATGTACAAGAATTTCATAAAGCCTAATATAATACTGTACAATGCCGGGTATTATGCAATATTCAATGATCAACAAAAAAAAAAAATATTCAAACATCTACTACATATTCAAAAAAAGTAGTGACACGAAATTTTCTCTTATGTGTAAAATAAAGTCCTCATAGCCTGTAAAGATCCAAGGACTACTGAATGAATGACTCATGGATATTCCTCTACAATCATCAACCTTGACCCTTCCTTCCCCAAAATTTCCATGATTTCAACTACAGTGGTCCCTCGGTTAACGAACACAATTTGTTCCACAGAGTCATTCGTTAACCGAAAATTTTGTTAACCAAATCTATTATTAACAAAACATTAAATATAAACTAAATACAGTACTGTACTGTACAGTATACTGTATAATAATAAATAAAAAACAATAGAATACTGTATTTTAACTTACTTTGAGGAGGTGTATGTTATATTCCCGGCAGCTTTGTTTACATATCAAACAGCTGATTGTAGAGGCAGTCGATGATGACATGCCACAATCTTTACAGAGTGCATTGGTTCTAATGCCTTCTTCATGTTTTGTAATAATTTCTGCACTGTATAATATCAATATGTTAACTAAATTTCAGAATGACCAATAATTTCAATGTAAAAATGCAAAAATATTCAAGAGACCAACAAACTGGATATTCACTCCACTGTAAACAAAGTTAAACCGGGAAGCATTGTTGGGTGATTCAATCAGCTGATTGGCACACTAAAACTGTTCCCTGTACTGTATATATTATCAATATGTTTACTAAATTTCAGAATGACCAATAATTCTAATATAAAAAATGCAGGAATATTCAAGAGCACAACTTTCTTGATATTTACTCCACTGGAAACGAATGTAAACATAGAACTGATTACCCGGTACTGTATTGGCGGACTGGCCAATCAGCTGATGCGCACAACAAAACGTGTTTGTCGTAAGGATTTCGTGAATCAAACTGAAAATCCTTATGGGAGCTAATTCGTTAACCGAGGGACCACTGTAATCATGTTAGTTGGTCATGTTTCTGAATACTGGACATTCTTATCTCTTGGGATCCAGTTGAAACACCAAACATACTAAATATTCTGTTCCCTAACATCAGTTATGATTTCCTGTTTCAGAATACATCCTTGTACAAGTAAGCACAATATGGCCCCCCATATATTTCTGCATTCTTTAATCACAGCATATCGTTTACTCCTATGGGTCCTCCTTGACTTTATACTTTCATTTTACACACAATATCCTACATATCTACAGGAATTTCTTATTATTTTGAGAAAGTACAGTACACACAATTGCAGGGTTTCAATTGTTTCTCTTACTTTGACAACACAACATACATATATTGTTTCTCACTATTGATCTTTTTTTATTTATGGTCCTTTATTATTATTATTATTATTTAATATTATTATTATTATTTAATATTTTTTCTAATTTTTTATAATTTTTATCATTATTAATACAGTGATCCCTCAGTTAAGGAATGCCACGGTTAACAAAATTTTGGTTAGCAAATTACCTTCAATAAGAATCTTCAATTTGGTTAACGAACAAAAATTCGGTTAACGAAATTTTTACAAAATCATGTCAACATGTTTGCGCTTGCTCACCAGCTGGAATATTAGTCCGCCAATACAGTAATCGGTTCTAGGGCTTAAATTCGTTCCCATTTGAGTAAATATCAAGAAGGTTGTACTATTCAATAATTTTCCAAGTACTTGTAGTTTTATATTAAAATTTTTAGTCATTTTAACACTTATTTAACATAATTTCAGTACAGTAAACTAGTTTTTGCTGCGCCGATCAGCTACTTGACTCACCCAGCAAGGCGTCAGTTTGTATCTCTGGTTAGTGGAGGTAAAATCTTGCTTGTGGCTCTCTTGAACATAAACTATTTTTACATTTTTACAGTACAATTATTGGTCATTCTGAAATTTATTTTACATATTGACAATATATAGTGCAGTGTAGTGTTGATTTAAAGAAAATAATCTTGAATTACACCAAGTGAACTTAAAATTTTATGGGTGAAATGACGGCATGAAGCATCGAGTGATTTCTCTTCCACCCACCACTTCCTTCTCTTCTCCCTTCTCCTCCACCCCCACTTCTAATTCCCATCATCATCATCAACCAGGAGCCTTCTACATACACACCTCAAAGTAAGTGTACTTTACTGCATTTATTTTTACTTTGTATGTAATTTTCAGTGACCTGGAACCAATTACCCAAAATTCCATTGAAACAATGGTTTCGGTTAACGAACGACCTTCTGGAACAAATTGTGTTCGTTAACCGAGGGACTACTGTATAAATATTATTATTATTATTATTATTATATTTTTGCCCCCAGGCCCTGATGTGGGTCATTGACCTGTGCCCTGGTGGGCTAATCCCATAAAAAAAACAAAAATAAATTAATTAATTAAATAAATAAATAAAACTGCATCTCCAAATGTATCAGTTATCTCAGCTTTGAGATTGAATGTACAGTAAAACTGTATTAGACTGAGCATATTTAACAATTTGGCATCAGAGTGGATGAAAAAAAAAAAATAAAAAATTTCCAGCTCATAAAATCATTCATTAAAAATTGTAACTCTACTATACACACCTTGTACTTGTCAAACCAAGAGTCAAAGAGAAGGACACGGAGGGAAGCTTCTTTGCTACATTTCCCCTTTGGAGATGGCACTCCCTCAATAACAGCCTCTATAACATCAATTACACCACTTCCCAACTTAGCAGATACCTGTAAATAAAATTTTTTATTGCATTTATTACGAATCTATCAAATTATTACAGCACATGCATTCTCTGGCTACAACCAAAATGGATACTGTGTAATAAAAAACATTTCTCAAAATAAAGCACAAGACTGTTTACTCAAACCCTCTAAAGCAGGTATGGGCCACATTCGGCCCAAACCATGTCTCTGTGCGGCCTGCGAATTGATTGAGAAGTATTATACAGGTGCTCCTCTACTTAAGAACGTTCAACTTACAAACATCATCACTGAGGGGATTACCTGCCAGAACAGGTGTTTAATGTGGATGAGACTGGGTTATTTTGAAGAAAATTCCAGATAGAACAAACATTACCTAAGAGGAGAAGAGTGAGCCAAGTTTTAAGGCTGTATTAAAGGGTATAGCTGTACTAAATATCCATAATCTTTTAATTTTTTACAATATGTTTGGTATCTACAAGAGTAAAGTTGGACTCGCAAACAAGCCTCAGGAACGTAACTAGTTTGTAAATAGAGGAGAACCTGCATATGGTTCATCATGATTAATAAAACATCTTCAGTAATAGAGAAAAAATACAATACTGTATGTAATTTGTAATATGACTTGAAAATGAAAGGATAAGCTGTATCAGAAGGTTGTTTAATCAAGGTGCATTTGTGTGAGAGGTTTCAACAGGGGTCACAATATCACACTATAATATTTGATATGAAGACACCTTCCTAACAACGTTATTTACCACCTTTGAGTGTTATACTGTATGATGGCTCAATTTGGTTACTTGTACACTTACACAAATGATTACCCTGTAATGCATAAACCAGGGTATATGCAAATAAACAAAATTGTACAATACAGTGGTCCCTCGGTTAACGAGCACAATTCATTCCAGAAGGTTGCTCGTTAACCGAAACCATTGTTTCAATGGGTTTTTGGGTAATTGGTTCTAGTTCACCGAAAATTGCCTAAAATCAACAAAAAAGGTAGTAAAGTACACTTACTTTGAGGTGTGTATGTAGAAGGCTCCTGGATGATGATGATGATGGGAATTAGAATGGGGGTGGAGGAGAAGAGAAGGCACTGGGGTGGAAGAGAAGTCACCCCATGGTGCCATTTCACCCATAAAATTTTAGTTTTCTTGGTTAATTCAAGATTATTTTCTTTAAATCAACACTGCACTGCATTATATATTGTCAATATGTAAAATAAATTTCAAATTGACCAATAATTTGCTTGGAAACACAGAAAAAAAGCGTTCAGTTGAAGAGAGTCTCAAGCAAGATGTTACCTCCACTGAAAAGACACAGAGACTGACGCCTGTATGGTGTGTTGACAGGCTGTTTGGCGCGCAAAAAAATAGCTTCCTATACTTCAATTATGTTCAATAATTGTTAAAATGACTAAAAAATTTAATATAAAACTTTTAAAATTATTGAATAGTACAAACTTCTTGATATTTACTAAAATAGTAAGGAATTTAAGCCCTAGAACCGATTACTGTATTGGCGGACTAATACTACAACTGGTGGACCGCCAAATGCAAGCAAAAACATGTGGAGGGGCGCTCGTTAAAAACTTGTTAATCGAGGGATTGCTCGTTAACCGAAGTTAAGAATCTTATGGAAGGTAATTCGTTAACCGAAATCTCGTTAACCGAGGCGCTCGTTAACCGAGGGATCACTGTACAATATTACTTATTAAGTGATTATAAATACACTACAATAGTATTTATTAAGTGCAGAAAGTCAGATCAGCAACCTGGGACTTGGTCACAATTTTTGTGATGCCATATGGCAGCAGGGTTTACCATTAAACAATGAGTATGAATGAGCATAAATTTTTTTACATATATCTACCTAAAATTAAGAGTTGAAAAGTACTTTATACCTTATGATAATTAGCACTATTTCTTTTCACTTTTTTATGTAAGATTGTGTGTATTTGTAACTAAATAAAAAAGGAAGAAAATTACATACAGTATATCTACCAATACATAAATTATAGTTCACAGGTGGGGATGGTTGGAAATATCCCCACTCAGCCCAGGAGCTGTGCTAATTTTAAATAATTCATTCTAAAACACAGCCAGGTTTTGAAGCATTCCTGATACTGGGACACCAGATAAATGGTCCCATACCTGTATTGCCGTTTCCTAAACATCTAACCCTCTTACCGAGTGTGTCCTTCATCCTAAATTTTCTAGTCTTTGGTCTCCCCCTTTCCATCCTACCATACATCCCTGAATTACTTCTCAATACTGTACAAACATACCACCTAAACAAACCCTGATCCTCTCTGAAACTCCATTTATACATTTCCGGTTTCTGTATTCCTTATTCTCTGCCTCCTATTCACCTCACATACCGCTCTTAAGCACTTTCTTCTGTTTCTAATAAGGTCCTTCCTCTTGCACCCAGAGTCTGTGCTTCACACCTGTATAATGCTGTGTCTGCTTAATGATGCTCTTGTGTATCCCAATCTTTATCTCTTCTGATATGGTATTCTCTTATTTTCTTGTCTCCACTAATCAGTGATTCATCATTCAATGCTCCTTGTTCCATTTGTTGACAACCAGTTCCAGATATCTGAAACATCTCAATTCCTTCATTTTACCTCCATTCAAGATGCTATCCTTTATCCATTTCTCCATGTTTACTTATTTTCATAATTTTTTATTTATTCACATGCATTATGAACTTCCCTTAAGTATTCATTCTTTCAAACTCATTAACATTAGTAAATTGTCTTTTATATTGCCCAGTGGAGTAGCTGACTCACTCACTACCATTACCACATAAATCCTGAACAGCCAGAGACTTAAAACATCCTTCATGTAGTCCTACCTTCAATGGAGACCATTTCCCTCATTCCAACAAATTCCTCACACAAGCTTTGCTCTCCCTAAATAAACTCAGGACACCTTTCAATAACTTCATTTTTTCAAAACTTCAATATTATCTTTATACAGTACTGTATCTGCTTTATCATGTACCTTTTTCAGATCCATATACTGTATACCACACACTACTACACCCATCTCCCCCCAAAAAATATCTCATGCTTTCTCATGTAAATATTTGGTTCATACATCCAATCTCTTTCCTGGACTCACTCAGCACTTCCCCTAAAATACTGTTTTTGCTACACCTCTCTCAATAGTAAATCTAACATACAATTGAACTGGATCTTTACTCTCTTCTCATGTCCAGTATTCCATCTTTTGCTTTGTCAACAATTCATTTCAGAATGATGTACTTTTTTCTGATTTACTGAATACATTACTATTTATTACATGGTACAGTACTGTAGTAATATCTCCGCTAGCCGGAATCCCTCAAACCCAGAACTGTCTGACAGCCGGAATTTAAATTTTCTCTAAAAATTCAGAGAAAATTTTCACAGTACAGGTAGTTCTGCTATAACGCGATAATTGTGTTCTTGTAAAATATCGTGTTATAGAAAATCGCGTAATAGAAATAACAGGGCTTATGGAGAAAATAGGGTTAGGTGCAGATTACTCGAAATCGAAAAAATTTAGTAGTTCGCCTAACACAAAGGATAGCACAGTCTAAATAAATGTTACATTCATATCTAATAATGAAATCATACAGTAAATGTAATACTTTACCTTGAAAAAATATGAATGTAACTTGATGGGGGAGAAGGGTGATTTTGAGGTTGATAACATCGAGCTTCTCTTCAAGTGTTATATCCTTTCTTTTACGATCATCACCGGGAATTCTATCACCAGAACGCTTCTTGGAGATATTCTTCTTTACCATATTCACAGTTAATACCACAAAATTGGAGAAATAGTAAGCAAAAATCGCGTCATAGCAAACAAGCGTTCGCGTTATACAAATATCGTTCCTAATTCATAAATCGCGTTAGAGCAAATTCGCGTTATCAAAACACGAGTTATAGCAGAACTCACTGTACGTTCCTGGAAAATACCTGAGATGGGGCGTTTCTTCCGGGGTTGAGACATGAAAATCAGGCGCATTTTCCAGAAATCATGAGAAAATTTTTCCGATACCTGGAAAATTCTGGGGATGGGTGATATTTTTATAGGTTCAAGAGATGATGTAATGTGCAATTTCTGGAACTTCCGAGAATATTTCTCCGTTACCCGGAAAATTCCGAGGATGAAGGAGATTTTTCCAGCTTTGAGAGATGAAATTATGCATCATTCTGGAACGTCCGAGAACATTTTTCCGCTACCAGGAAAATTCCGGGGATGAGGATTTTTTCAGCTTTGAGAGTCGTCTCGTTACCCAGAAATCTCTCATTCCCAGAAGTGCTCTGTACCAATTGTTCCGGCTAATGGAGATATCACTTGCATATCCTTTCTTACTTAAATAAATGCAGTCGGTCCCCAACTTACGACGGGGTTAGGGACCAACGACCAGGTCGTAAGTCGAATTGGTCGAAAGTCGAAAATGCGAAAATAATACATAGAAAATCTAAAATGGGTGTCTCTTTTTCTTCTCAGCACCACGAGAACTCTCACTTTTACAATTGCCAGCCATTTTAAAGGGAATTACAAACTAAAATTCTGTCAGTACACAGCGCGATCACTAATGTTGGACTCGAAAATACGTAATTTGAAAAATATTTTATACGACAGCGGCGGTCGTATGTCCGGGTGGTCATAAGTCGAGGTTAAATTAAGCTCCTAATTGTAGCAAGTAATAGTTAGCAGGTATACATGTCCTTCAAACTCCTTGCCCATGCATTGCCAACACCCACTCTTTTACCGATGCATTTTGTAAAATAATCTTCAAACCTCCCTCTAAACGCTGACTACATTTGCTGGTGTCTTTTGATTTTGTAGCTTGTCTGCTTCTTACCCAATATAGGTAAACTTTCTACTGTCCCTACTCAGTTTTCTTTGGTTATCTATCTCCCTTTCCCTATAACTTCACTTCACTTCTATACTGTTACTTTGATTTCATAACTAACAGCCTAGATCTAACGTCTCAAGAAGTCACATATTAATACCTGTAGTAAATCACTAACAAACACAAATCATTTATCAAGATGAGACCATACACATACCAGTAACCACTACCATCATCTATAAAATATAATTTTACACCAATAACTCCTTTCAAGGTAAATGAATCATTACCACTCACCTTTATATTAAAAATCAAAGTTCTTTTTCTTTTCTTAATTACATCCACCAATTATCCCATGCACAGTGGACCAATAGACTAATTATACATCCTACAACAATGCCCAATATTCTCAGTGTAATTTAAGTGAATACAGTAAACCCCCAATATAAAATACTAATTGGGGGAAGGCCGGCCTGTTAAAGCCAAAAGTTTGTTATATCCGGAATAATAAAGGACTCGGTCCGTTATACACCAACAATCCAAAGTAACTATGATCATTTAACTATGCTTGAGGAGCAGTTCACTTGCACGGTTAAGCCCTAAACATGGCAGGGTCTCGCCCCAGGAGAAAATATTTATATAACAAGCTTCTAATACAACTACAGGGTATATGCGAGGGTTGTATATTACCACCACTATCATTCTATTCCTGCTTGTTTAGTGACCAACTATAATACCTGCCAGGCATATAACTCAATTGAAAGTCTGTCTGTCTGCCAGGGGTGTGGAGTGGTAGTGTTAAGTCTAGGTTCATGTGAGCTGAGCTGAGTGGCTTGGTCACATGTGCCCTATTACCTTGTTTGCAAATATTTATGGCACTCGATACACTTGGAATTTTGGTATTTATAATAAATACAAGCATCCAGTATATTGTTTTCATGCTTGTATGTTTTAAAATACCCAAACTCAGTAGCTGCACCAAGTGCCATAAATTTTATGTACCGGGTAAAAGCAAAGTAAATTTCTCCAATCACAGTCTTTGGTCTGGCCAGCCACCCACTGCAAAATTGCCACATTTTTTATTTTACAGTACAGTGCTTATATCTACCAACTATATCAATAAAACAGTGAAATTAGAAATTAAAAACTTAATACAGTGTGTGTGTGTGTGTGTGTGTGGCTGTGGAGTGAATCGCTGACTTGCCCGCCATGTGGCCGTGTGGGTGACAGCAGTGATGGAATGTAAGATGGTCAAACTCAAGGTCGAATCTTGGAATTATTGTACAACTTTTAATTCTGAAGCTGTACTGATTTTTTAGTTAAACGATCATACATTCTTCCCATTGATTTAACATGATTTGTTTAATACTAAATGTACAAGAGGGAATATTATCCAAGAACATGAGAGATTTATTGAGTCAAATCATACAATATGCAATAATCTATACATTATGAAATAGTTTAAGATGAATGAACTACAGGAAAAAATATGATTTACATTTTAAGATACAAAACTATGTGTGGGTGCGCAGCCAGTGAGGTGTGCCGGAGGAGGGGGGAGGGAATTAAGACAGCTAGCATGAGGAGTGAGGGTCTTATTGTATGACAAATCTGCGCATGTGTGACTGCATGGTAGCGAGTTAAATATCAACTGTTGAGGAGCACTTGGCAACACTCATTTCAACTCCATCTCTCTAATCACTCACACCTTTCTGCTTTCTCACTCCATATTTTAAAATGTTATGTAATGTAATGCTGAAGGGATACAACTTTGCACATTTATACTTATACTTATCACAATCTCCCTAAAAATACTTAAGGTATCGTGTTTATTCAAGACATCTTCAGGTCATGAGACACACTAATCCCCCACCCAAGAAAGGTAACCTGACATTCCATCAGAAGGTTAGTAATATGAGACCCCCCCCCACCCTACCTCCACCTGACATTGAGTTAGGTCAGGTAGGCCCCCCCCGCAAAACACTTCAGCTTTCGTCTTTATTCAAGACATTTTCAGAAATGCTCTCAATTTTCAACCTTGGAAAAATTTTTCCTAAAGACGGAAATTTTTTTAGAAAATTCTGACTTTGGGAATGATTTTCCAAGCAAATTTCAATTCCGGCTATCTGAGAGTTCTGGGTGTGAGGGATTCTGGCTAACGGAGATGTTACTGTATTATATATGTTTATTTGGTACTGGTTTAATAGAACATTATCCAAAAAAATTATTTTCTCCAGAAAATCCCACTCTCAATCCCAGATGAGCTATTGCGCTGTAGTACAGTATATTACCGGACTTGTTTACAGAGTGTCGTTACACAGCTGATCATTCCTGCTCTTCCTAACAATGGTGCCAGCACTCACCATCTCAAGTACTTGATTTTTTGGTAATTCTAGTGACCCAGAGCTCCTTTTCTATCAAATTACCATATTTTAAGGCATATAAAACGCACTTTTTGTTTGAAAAATGGCTAAAAATATCAGCCTGCATCCTATATGCGAAGTTGTGGTCTCCCTCAAGGTAATAAATGCCTGGTTGCTGTCTCCAGTAGGCTAAATTCTACCTTACCCAACTCCAGAATTCAAAATATGTTGTATTACCGCCACAGTAAGATAAACTAGAAGAGAGAGAGAGAGGGTGAGAGGAGAGACAGAGTGTTGACGACGAATTTTGCTGAGGTGTTTAAATGGGCGCGTCGGCCACACTGGTAGCAGCTATGGCGGACAGTCTATCGCCTCCTACTGTAGAGACAACAGCTACCAGGAAGATATTATATTTGTTCTCGTTGGTCTAACCCTAGACCCCAAAACGTTAGTGTGATTGTGAGCTATTAAATCCTCTAAGAACTCTAAATAACTTTAATAAGTGTATTTATGTACTGTATATTGATCATATTATACAAACTGTGTCCTGATGTATCAGCCTTTGTTATATGTGAATTGTTCTTTAACAGGTTTTGACTGAATTATACTCATCGTGTCAACGACAAGGGTCTTATTGTCCTGCACAAGCCAAAATCGCTCCTATGAGCAATTACAGCTTACTTAAATTTTATTATTCATTTTAATTAATTAAAAAATAATTATTGTAAATATAAAAGTTCAATCTATAACTACTCTGTACTGCACTGATAACGATAACCGGAGACGATTACCGTCCGTATGGCAGACACCCAACTCTTCAGAGGTAGCTAAAGTGTAACCATTTCTGAACTCTTACAAGCATTACAATCTATTAATGCCATACCTGCAATATTTATTTTTAAATCTACAAATACCTGATGAAAATGAAGATTTACAGATAACCTTTTCACATTTACATCTGTTAACATCGCTGGCAGCTTGTAACCAGGGTAGACTAGTCTGTGTAACCACCAGGCTACTGGGCCAAGCTGTTTTTTTTTTTTTCAACTTGTATTTTCGGGCAGATACCGCATAAGTAACTTTCTTCATTTATTTTTACTTAGTTACATGCACACAACATCTTACATACATATTGTGAAAAAGTAAAAGAAATAATTGACAACAGTATTTTTTGTTGTAACTTATCTATTGGTATCATTTTTATTTATTCCTCACATTTACCGGTACTGTATAGTACAGTATATTGTTTTAAGAAAACTATGGCTACTGGAGGAAAACACACACAAAAAAGTTTCCTTAATACTCCCTGCTAAAATGGGGGAGGCGTCTTATATAGCCGTGCGTCTTACATGCTGTAAAATATGGTAACGAAGGCATAGTATAATTACAAATAGAATATTTTATGTGGCAACCATGGCAAGATAACCGAGATGTTTGTTGTTTGGAATAACGAGGAACAATCTCAACAAACTGAAGAGAAAATGAACAAATTCTCGAACACAAAAATTCATAAATTGTCGAATACTGTATAATGTTAAAATATTCCGAACTTGATTAATTTGGGTTTTTCGGTAATTCGAGTAATTGAGTCCATAATATTTTACCATAACGGACCCGAGTCCGTAATATATGAACCTAGTCCAAACGGGTCAGAGGGTCCGTTATATCGGGGGTTTACTCTCTATTTTACAGGTACTTTAATGGGCAATGTTCAGTGGCTTTCTTGCCCGTGGTACCCACCGTTTGTGTGTGGATATCGGTCACACTAGAATAACCCATTATAGATACATCCTTCTTTCCTCACACAGCCAAACTGTGGAATGTTGTGTCTCCTTCTGTGTTTCCATCCTCTTATAATCTGTCTCACTTCAAAAAGCTGGTTTTGCAGCATCTTGGTGTACAGTAAATTAACATACCCTGTACTCTTTTTATCCTCAAATTTTTGTTTTATTACTCATATTTTTTCACCCCCAGGCCCTGTTGTGAATCGATGACCTGTGCCCAGGTGGTTGAAAGTACAGTAATAGTATTTGAGTATAGTACAGAAGATTTCAAAGCAAAAGCAGTAAGGAACTTGTAGAAAATTATAAGAAATACATTTAAAGAGCCTCAGATTACAATTTCTTTCACCCAAAAAGAAATAATCTTTCTTCAAACTTGACAATGTAAACAGGATTTTAATGTAGCATGCATAAAGATGGTAACAACTCACTCTCAGCTTTGTCTGCCTGTTTTACAAAGTAGCCGCTGTAAATTACGGTATGTGACTGAATGAATTAACTAATGAAACAGGAAAATTTAACTTACCAAGAGAACCTCATCTGGATCAATCTCAAAGAGATTCATCAGTTGCTCCTTTACTCTTGCAGGATTAGCATTTTTTAGATCAATCTTATTTAGCACTGGTATGATTGCTATTTCATTAGTGAAGGCTAAATAAAAATTAGCAACAGTCTGAGCCTGAACACCCTCATTAGCATCTACTAACAGTATGGCTCCTTGACAAGCAGCCAATGATCTTGATACTTCATAGGTGAAATCAACATGGCCTGGAGTATCTATAAGATTCAGCAAGTAGTTCTGTAATGTAAAATACATAAATAAGTAGAGTACTGTAAATACAAAATCTGGTTTAAATTTTGCTAGTACCTGTAGCTTATAAAACAGGAGAAAAGAAATTTGACTTAAAAACCTAATTCATGGACAGCTCAACTGACAAAAATAGCTATATTAATTTTTTTTTTAATTTTTTTTTAATTTCATTTAAATAATTCTTACAAAAAAAAACTGCAAAGGTTAAAGAGTAGCTGTGTGTGCAGTGCTAGTTGTTGGTAAGCTAATATCATTATTCAACAGTGAATAATGGTAACTTACACATTTGTACCTACAACCTCATACCTCATTACACACTTGTGGTTTGACAATTAATCTAGGTTCAGTCTTCATACTGATGCACATTAAAAATGGACGAGTTGGCGGTCGGAATTTTTTTGTAAGATGGCAGGTCAAAGGGTAAAGAAAACGCTTAAATTCACTATGGTAATGATATTTTTTAATAAATTGGGCCAAAAGGTGTCAAAAATAGGGGTTAAATTTGCTAAAAAGTCACGTGACTGCGAAAAACTCTGTGATTGGTTGTGACGTCACTGGTTGGGGCGAGCTTCCCAGCGAGAGGAAGGCAGCTGTAGTTGTCCAACCTTCTCGGCTGATCGGACTAATAGGGGGGGGAAGGGTGTCCGTTTTAGCCGTTTTTGTCCGAATTAACCGATTTAGGGGTTAATATTGCATAATATTGCATGATACAGCTATGTGTATGTTTATTTGAGTGCCCCGTCATAGGAGTCCGTTTTCTCTCACTTCAGGACGCTTGAGTCGTCCGTTTTCTCTTAATCTTAGAGTGCAGTACACCAGTGACTTCTTTATTCCTTAGTAATGACACAGAATTTGCAACCCCAATTGCAACTGGGACAATCCCAGAACCAGAAATTTGATATGGACAGTTCAGATTTCGTCCGATTTATCCGAAATCCGGATTAAAGAGGTGCGAATTAACGAGGGTTGACTGTATTAGATAATTAACTGTGCTTTACTGTGCAACACAGTAATATTATTTTGAATACTGTATATAAATATTACTAAGCACATAAACTAATTCAATGGATATTAGCTTCCCATACTACAAATTTCATAGTACAGGAGCTCCCCGACTTACGACGGGGTTAGGGACCCAAATCCAGGTCGTAAGTCCGACATAGATAAAAAATGATAAAAAAAAAAGATAAAAAATAAATAAATAAATGTTTTTTTTTTTTAAATAAATAAAAAATCTACAATGAAATACAGTACACTAAATGTAATAAATAATGAGGAATGGATACAGTACAGTAAAAGTAATAAATAATGAGGAATGGATACAGTGTGACTGAGCACGTACCTTAAATGTAGTCAGCTGAATGCACACGGGGCCCCCATAATTTTCTATTTACAGGATACATGGAGACTATATTAATTGGAAGAAGCAGAAGAGGAGACAGGGCTGGGTGGGTCATCAATGTCGCTTTCTTCAGACAGGTTTATGTGCTGTGGAAACTTGCTGGTTGAAGGTATTGGATCATCTTGAGGGAGTGAAGAGGCAGCACTGGTGGGGCGTGAGGAGACAGCACTGGGGGACTTCTTGAAATAGATGTCCAATTTAGACTGCACAGTTTGCTTTTTCTTTTCATTATAAATTTCTCTGTAGCAAGCAAGTGCATCTTGGATCGTTCTGTCAACTTTGGCATAACGCTCATAATTTTGATCCATGTCATCAAACATTTGCATTGCTTTATTAATTGTAGCAAATGCCTCTGCCATATGTTTCACTGAAAACTTTTTCGGGGGTGCAGGTTCTTCTTCTACATTTTGTCTCTCTTCTTCCTCTGCAATTTTCTGTGCATCTAGTTCAATAAGATCCTCGTTACTGAGCTCTTCTGCTACACTTTCAACCAACTGTCCGACATCTTCTTTATCAATTTCTAACTCCAGCTGTTTACCTAACTCCACTATCTTGTTACTAATATCCGAAATAACTTAATTTTCATTAAATCCTTTGAAACTGTGCACATATCTTTTCAGGATTTTCTTCCATATTCCATTAATGCAATGTTTTGTAACCTGATCCCATGATGTACTAATGTTCTGTATACATGACAAAATGTTGTACTCCTTCCAAAACTCTCTGAGCGTTTTCTCACCTTCAGTAGCAGCAACAGCCTGAGCGAAGGTAGTGCGTAAATAATACGCTTTAAAGGCAGCAATAGCACCTTGATCCATGGGTTGGTTGATAGAGGTAGTGTTAGATGGAATGTACACTACCTTAACATCAGGGTGCATGTCGTCCAGGTGTGGTGGGTGTCCCGGAGCATTATCCAAAATCAGTAAAATCTTGAATGGAATCCGTTGTTGCAGACAATACTCCTTGGCTTGTGGAATGAAACAAGTCATGAACCAATCCTCAAACAGTATTAGGGTCATCCAGGCTCTCTTATTACTGCGATAAAACACTGGCAGTGTGTGCTTGCTGACATGTTTAAAAGCCCTGGGGTTCTCTGAATGATACGGTAGATCATGAAGGGCTTTAGCTTGAAACCAGCAACATTCCCCCCCAACAGAAGTGTAATTCTGTCCTTGAATGCCTTGAATCCAGGCATTGTTTTCGCCTCTTTGTGGATGTATGTCCGCTCAGGCATGCGCTTCCACAATAATCCAGTCTCATCCACATTGAATATTTGCTCAGGCAAATAATTCCCTTCCACAATCACATCATCTAACTCCTCCTTAAAAGCTTCGGCAGCACCAACATCGGCACTAGCTGCCTCTCCATTCACCTTAACATTGTGTAGACTGTAGCGTTTTTTAAATCTATCAAGCCACCCATGACTTCCTGTAAAGGTTTGATCACATTCATCTCCTGCCTGCTCCTTCAGGCTTTGGAACAGGCTTCTTGCTTTAGCCTGTATGGTTAGAAGGCTTAAGGGTACAAGCTTCTGTATCTGGTCTTCTATCCATATCACCAATAATTTTTCCATATCGTGAATAGGACCTTGTCTTCTCTTTGATATTATAGTTTCCCTTTATAGGTGTTGTTCCTTTCACTACTTCACGAATACGTTCCTTGTCCTTCAGAATAGTGGATATAGTCGAGTGTGAGAAACCTAGGTCACTTGAGATTGTCGCTACTGTTTTTCCATTCTCATGCTGTGTTATTATCTTCAATTTCATCTCAAAAGTAATTGCCTGTCTCCTTTTCTTTGGAACACCAACAGCACTCTCACTTTTACGCTTTCCAGTCATTATAAAGTCAATTAAATATGATAATAACGAAAGTTCACAGCGCGATCAGTATAGGATACGACAGTCAAACACAAACAAAGCGCTCCACTGAGTGAGTGTACCCACGAGGCGACCCGAGACGTGCCACCCACTCGCCCCGGACGGAAACGTTTCGGTATAGAAAATGCGCGCGTCATTTGAAAATATTTTTGGTCACGACTGCCGCGGTCGTATGTCCCGACGGACGTACGGTCAAAGCAGGTCGTAAGTACCAATGGAAGTAAGTCCATGTGGTCGTAAGTCGGGATCTAGCTGTATAAACATTTCAAACAATATTGATATTATTTTGGTTTTGGTCATCTGGGGAACCTTAAGATTATAACTATGGGATTAAGTACTTAAACAATAAGACATATTATCTACAGGTTGTACCTCTCTAGTCCGGCATTCTGTGGTCCGGAACGATTTTAGTTTGCCCATGGAGAAAATTAATTTGAGTCTGGTACTTTCGATGTTTGGCTAAATTTTGCCTTATTTACCCTACTATTTTGGTGAATTACTACCTGTAATAAAGCAACATCCTAATAAACGAACGGAAATAACACAGATAAAGTTAAATAAAAACTAAAAACAACACAGAACAGTTCTTATGTTCTACAGCTTTAGCTAGAGTTGAACCTGATGACTTGGCAACTTCGTCATTCGAGTAAAAACACACACAACAACATTGGCTGTCCTTATGTTTTCAACTTTACCACCACTGGTGGGTAGAATTTTTTTTTTAAATTCAGAAACATTAATTAAAATATATATGAACAGTAAATAAGTGTTGCTTACATAGTCTTATATAGAGTAATGACGATATGTTTTCACATGTGCACACTTACATACGTGAGCTCACTTTTTCCTTTACCATTAATGGTTAGCTACTTATATTGTTCCATTTATTAACATTAAATAACATTACTTAAAACAACCATATTAATTTTTTACATAAATTTTACTACAGCTACAACCAGGGTCTTATTTTCTTCAGTTTTATATGTAGATCCAGTCAGTCACTGGTTTTGTAATCAACGAAAACAATCCCTTCTCGTTTTCTCGTGTGTTTTAATATTATACATATTATTAATGAATTGTATTGTTCATTTTGCACACATAAAAATTAATTAAATCAAAAAGACATTCAGTAATAAACAATAATGAATCTTTTGTACATAAGAGAAATGACACTGCTTACACGATTTGTGCATGTCTGAACGTTGGAGGGCCGCTCAAACCCGTCGAAATTCAAGTTTCCGCCATCAAAATTTTAAATTGCGTAGTGGTTTTTTTTTGTGTCCAAATAAAAAACATCGAATTAAAAACTCCCAAAATTTGAGAACCTACTGTACAACATTTAACCCTTCAATATATCTTCAAAGAGACCACGGAGCAGTGAAAGTGGTGCTAGTGTTTCCAAGCGTAAGCACAAGTCACTATCTATCCAGGAAAATGGTGAATTTCCATGGTTCGGAAATTTCCATGGTCCGGCACCGGTCAGGTCCCGAGGTAGCCGGACTAGAGAGGTACAACCTGTACAGGATTTCTGTTGCAAATTTTTTTGGGATCGCATAAGAAAATACTGATCATATGTTAGGTTAGGGTATGATGAGTTATAAGGGGGGGGGGGTAGTAACTCAAAACTAGTGATTTCCGATAGAAATGAAGGTCTAAATCGTTCATAACACATCGCAAACCATCAGCAAAAAAACATAGTCTGCATGTCTAAGTACAGGGATGACCAAAACTTAAAATTTACCCAATATAGCCTATCTCGAATCTAAACATCAAAATACTTATGGTAGTTATAGTAAAATTTTACCCATTAATTAATATAAATGCTGATATATCCCAGTGGTTCATTAGTGAATCATCAAAACAATAACAACACTATGTTGTCATGTTTACCTAGCACAGGCATTCTCAAAACTAAGTCCAGACAATGTTATTAGTTCTAAATTTACTTGTATCTCCATCTAGTACTGATATGCTCTGTAAATGCACTGAAAAAAAAAAGAGAAAGTCTACCAGGTAAGAGATCATGGCAGCTGAGCTGCTGTGAACATGGGAGTTTTTAATGTCCAAATGAACATAAGAATGGAGGAAACTGCAGCGGGCCTATTGGCCCATACTGGGCAGTCCCATTTACACCCAAACCCTATTGCTCATATATCCATCCAACCTATGTTTGAAGCTGCTCTTCACCACACATTTCTTCACTTACGAAACATCCATGACTTAAACCATAAAAAACCCACCCTTAAAACTTACCGGAGGAACGTGACATTTGGGGGTCTGAAGAGGCCATCCTTTCTACTACCTCTGACTGCAGCGATGAGTTTGAAACTAGTGACGTCATTGCAAATGGCGGCCCTGTTTTTTGAGAAATAAACTTATCTCGACTATTATAGCAGGACTTACTTTTATTGCAAATTATATATACCGTATCACTTTACAAACGTGGTTAAGTGTATTTCTTGTGTTTACCCAGAACCGTCAACTCGTCCATTATACATGATTTATATGCTAAGGCACATCAACCTTGGATCTTGTTGCAAGAAGTACATCACAAATTTACCTGTCCACTATATTCATAAAAGATTGAAGCAGTCTGAGCTTTCACTGTGATTCCTCGTTCTCGTTCCACTTGTAGCTTATCCAGAACCTGTTTGTTGTCTGTGTTTTTTTTTATTGCACCTGTAAGGGAAACACCTCTCAGATTCCAAGTAAAACACAAATACCTGTACCTGTAAAGTTGCTGGGTATATCTACAAAGGTTAACACAAAATAATTTTAAGAAGATTGATAAGGAAGGTGTAAGACAATGTGCTAGATGAAGCCATACAATACGTATACAGAAACTCACCAAAACTGTATGACATTCTTATGTACAGTACATGTCAGATGACACAGCATAATCTTATTCATATAATTCTGTATATCATAACCAAATTCTGAAAAAATTTCTCACATACCTGTTAACTCCAATATACGATCTGCAAGTGTACTTTTACCATGATCAACATGGGCAATTATAGAAAAGTTTCTTATTCGGTCCAATGGAAATGAAGCTAAGTTGGGGACATCTGATACTGCTTCATTAGATTCCTTGGAAACATTTAGGCAAGTATGTGATCTATGTAAACCACGGCCATCTGCTATTAAATTCTTTCCTATGTAAAGTCGAGGTATACACCTGAAATAAATTAATACATAAATAAATAAATACCCATGTATATTTACATACATGTAGTGTGACTACCGTAGATGAGGTTTAAGAACACCTCCACCTTAAAGAACAAAGGCTGCCTATTGACCCAGTGTGGGAAACAGAAGTGGTGATCTGAGGCACTGTATACTGTACAGTACTGTACAGGGTACTGCGTTAGTACAGGGGTAGTACATGTACTTATACAGTATTGTACTCTGTCATCATCCCCCCCAAGTCCAAAAAAACTGCTACTTATGAATATTTTTCTACTAAAGAGAACTTGTTTCTTACCTAAAGAATATCCATAACCTGGTGGAGGAATCCCAATTATCTTAAAAACAAATTTGCCGATTCTTCCTGGTGATTGTCAAGAGAGTCATTTCAGGATGCCATGTTTGTGTTTCATCTGTTGACAAACACAACCCAGCAACTGACCAAACGAGACTCAGCAACTTTTCCATACCTTACCTCAGCAAAATTACTTTGTACTGTACAGTATACAGGGGGTCCCTGGGTTATGAACGGGTTCCGTTCCTGAGGATGTTCTGAAGTTGAAAATGTATGCAAGACAAAACACTTGCTATATGCATATTACAGAAAAAAAATTTAAATCCCACTATACCAAAGCCAAAGTCCTTATATACATCTAAAATCACTTAATTTAAGAGAAAGGAAGAAAGAGAATGACCAAATCTATTAAATGAAAGTAAAAAATAAGTCACCAGGTAAATTAAATATACTGTAAATTTAGAGTTCAGCCTCATTCGTATCTGCAGGCATTCATAAGTCAGGGACCTCCTGTACAGTACCATAAATTAATGTACCTAAACCAAACCTAAAACAATTTTCATCCTAGGATAGGTAGGTTTGATTGGTTCATATTAACTAACAGTAAGACAAAGCATGTACTGTATTGTAATTATATTTGTGTACAAGCAGCAGAAGCATTGTAAGAAGACCTCACCAACCTAACCAAGGAAACTACCTAACCTAACTTCCTAGCCGTGAGGCTCAACCTTCCGGCATTTTAAACAGAAAGAACTTACGATTATATGGTGTATTATGTTTTTTGTGGACGTGAGAGCAGCCACCCAACCCATGTGATTCATAAACATACACTGGCAACTGGCATCAATCGGAGAGCAGAGAAAGACAAAGTAGTGTATGCCTAGTCTCCTAATTACCTACCAAACGGAGCACTTTCCTTAAAAATTACCATTATATGAGAACTCACTGATGAAAATACAGCAAGAATATAAACATCAAAACAAATAACGTGTCACTTGTGAAGCCTCCAGTTTAGCCAAATAATATATTCTATAGCATTTCCGTCAGGAATGTATATTTCTCGAGTACTGTACTGTATTTTAAGCGATAAAATTACCAACAGTATTACTTGTTAAAAGTGGGCAGAGCTTTGAAGTAGAGGGAAAGTTTACCTTATTCATGTTTTGGTGATTTGTAGGTGATGGTAGGTGATTCTAAGCATTTTTACAAGTTAGGAAATGTTAGGTAAGGTTTTGAAAGGTTAGTTTGGTTGTTCTTTTTAAGTAATTTACCATTTCCCCTCTGCTTTAAAGCCCTGCCCACTTTGAACAACCAATATTGTGAGTAATTTTATTGGTTAAAATACTTAAAATATATACATATTCAACGGAAGCATTATAAAATAAATTATTTAATACCACACATCGTATTTCAGTGAGCCAACATATCTCAAACTCATTCCTGAACCTGTAGTCAGCGGGTCCGACTAATTACCCAATGAAGTCAAATAATGAATAAATCGGACTGCCAATCACTTCTCGACTAGTATTTGGTGTCACGAAGTCACAAAAAATTGGTAAACTTAATTTAATCTGAGTTAATAGATCGAGTGCATGTACCTAACCTAACCTAACTTAACACAACTCAGATTAAATTAAGTTTACCAATTTTTTTTTACTTTATGACACCAAATAATAATCGAGAAGTGATTCACAGCCCTATTTACGCTTGTACGACCATCATTTGACTTCATTGCGACTACATTTGGGTAATTACTCGCTCCCTCGGTACAAGCACGCGATCTATTAACTCAGATTAAATTAAGTTTTCCAATTTTTTGTGACTTTGTGACACCAAATACTAGTCGAGAAGTGGTTGGCAGTCCGATTTATTCATGTAGGACCATCATTTGACTTCATTGCGGCTACATTTGGGTAATTAGTCGGACTGCTAGTCAGCTACTTATTTGGTAAATCTTTACTTTAGAACATGAGTCCCTAGGTTTATAACTTTGGAGAGCGTCATGTCCGAAAGTAAAATAATACCGCTTGTTTGAATTGTGCAAGGTGGGCCGAGTTAGTAATGTGTGGGCCCAGTTGGTTATTTAAGATTGGCCGAGTTAGTAATGTGTGGGCCGAGTTAGTAATGTGTGGGCCCAGTTAGTAATGTGTGGGCCCAGTTAGTAATGTGTGGGCCCAGTTAGTAATGTGTGGGCCCAGTTAGTAATGTGTGGGCCGAGTTAGTAATGTGTGGGCCGAATTAATGTAGTTAATGTGTGGGCCGAGTTAGTAATGTGTGGGCCCAGTTGGAGGTACGTCTATCCTATTCACTCGACAATTAACAAAACTAATTGTCCCTACATGAAATTCTGACTTAGATGGTCCAGAAACACTAAGAGACTAGGGTATTATCATTGACCACTCAGTACACAATTTGGATGTTAAATACCTCAACAAATTTCGGTGTACTCGCATGTTGAGCCTCGTGGAGATCATCACCAACAGCTTGTTACTGGATGATGTCAGTCCTTCCCACTTATATTTTGTTATTTACATTTTATTTATGATTTATTCCTTGGTTTGTATATTCCATCGTGAATTACTTTAACACTGAGGCAACAGTCGGTGCTGGCGGGAGAATGTAAACAAATTAATGTTAAAAATCTACAACGAACAAGTAGAAGTTCTTTTTGAAGTCCAAGCTTTTTAATGCATGCCCTGCGGCGCCTGCACACACTGGGGGAGGAGGGGGATGTACAATGAGTAAATAACTAGAAAAAGAGTTTTTGTCAAACCACTTTGTCATTAACGTGGGCTAATAAAGCCTAATATTCCGAGAATACTGGCAAACGAGCCTAAATCATATGCCGGTGTCGGGTAAGGGTTACGAGCTTAATTCAAATGCATGTTTAGCCCCACGTTGCTTAATTGGGTGGTGCTGTGTAGCATCGTGTACTGTACAGTATTGTACTGTAATACGTGTAAATTCGTGGTGGTGAAGAAGAGAAGTAAGGAAAATAATAAAGGAAGAGTGGAAGGTTTAAGATGCCCCTTTGCGGGGAAAATTTTATAAAAAAATGTTGCTTAACATACGCTGATCGGAACACTGGTCTTCTTGCCCCTTCCTTCCACTCTTATTAAATCAAAAGATACGTTGCTCAGCCAGCTCCACAAGAACCTGGCTAGAGATCGTCACCCCTTCCTTGGAATAATGGCTACTGCAAAAATAAACATATTTTTAACTAAATGAAAAAGGCTTGAGAACTAGAACCTAATCACGCAAGATGTAAGTTAAAATACAATTATTATAACCTCAGCATATCTGGTTGAGCCCGGATACTGTCAATCTCTTACTTTCCTTCAATTTTCCTCCCTCTTTTTCCTTGATCCGAAACCAATCCCTCCTCCCCCAAATTGCCACCAAAGTACTGTGGGGTATGGGATGTTTGTGTTCACACTCAGGATGGGATGGAGAAAGGAAACTCACAATGTGCTCTCTGTATACATGTTGTATTGGATGTGCAATGCAGCTTGGTGCTGGGAAGGCAGCATGGTTACAAGCGTTGAGTAGAGAGAGCTGGTTGGTGAGGGTGCTCAGAGGAGGACAGCTTGTGGGTCGCCATGCTCGCCGGCGGGAGCGAGGGCCGCCAGGCAGCGGCGGAGGTGGTGGTGTAGCTTGAGGCTGTAGCTAGAAGAGCGAGGTAGTTGGTGAGGATGCTCAGAGGAGGACCAGCTTGTGGGTCGCCATGCTCTCCGGCGGGAGCGAGGACCACCAGGCAGGCGGAGGAGGAGGAGGTGTTGCTGGCTGGTTGGTGAAGGTAGAAAGACAGAGATCACCACGAGGTCAGGTCTTAAATAGCGGGGGTTGGCGTGGCTTAGTAGTTGACCCCCGCTCCGTGATGCATGGCGGCGCTGGTTGACCTAGACCACTGTGGAATTCGCGGGGTCGGCTATGCAGCGACAAACAGCGTTTGTAGGGCAGAAATCCACTACAGTACTTCCAATCCTAATCCCTGTCCTCCCACTCAGCATTACAAGCAATAGCCCTCTACCTTATCTACATACGTCAAGTCAAATCAAGTTAAGTCTGTAGTATAAGCTAGGCAAGTTCAGGCGCTCTAATCTCTCGGGGTAGTTGAGGTGCCGTAGTGCAGGTACCAGTCTGGTGGCCCTCCTTTGAACATTTTCAATCAACTGACAGTCCCTAGTATATCTCGGGGACCAGACGGGGTGACAGTACTCCTGAAGGGGAAGCACTTCACCCTTGAAGATAGTTACGAGGGTCTTAGTGGCGTCGGACCGTCTAGATATCTGAACGACCTTCTTATAAGACCTAATAATTTATTTGCCTGATTTACCTCCTTTTCGCAATGGCCCGAGAACTTCAGCTCATTGTCAATATACATTTAATGCAGTATCTTCTTCCCGTTGGGACATATGATATTCTTGATAGGCCTCCTTACTGTTGGTACGCCCCAGGTGCATCCTCTTACACTTCGTGACATTGAATAGAGATCCTTCTGCAGCTCTTCATAATCCGCTTGGTTCTTGATTTACCGAAATAACTTGGCGTCATCGGCAAACATTTGTATGGAGGAGCGTACAAACAAACAACAGCGGACCCAATACACCGCCCTGTGGTGCCCCGCTTGTGACAGGTACAGATGATGATTTCGTGCCATTAACCACCACACAATGCTCATAACAAATTGCTTCTCTTAGTAACAGATGTAACAGTATGTCGCAGTAATGCCTTTGCCAACTGTGTATCTGGTGAGGTGACTGTTACCGTGAATATAATAGCCACTTGTGAAACTGTCGTATATGCAGCAACCTTCCTGTGTTGTCACCACTTGTAACAGCCACTTGAGAAGCACGCTACCTTGTATTTTAGGCATACTAAAATATAGATCTAAGTTTATTGGATCTTCTGTAGTGAAATCCAATATGTTCCCTTGTTTGTATTTATTATAAAAGGTTTCTATGTACTTTTAAAAAGGATTATCGCCGTAATTTAACCACTGTAGCTATGAGTGTTAAATGAGGACGGATGCTATCTTATATAGCTCTGCTAAGCACGTCCTGTCGATGATGAGATAGTCGAGTGAGAATGAGTAGGAACCGGTTGATGGAAGAACGGAATATCCAACGTCCTCCCTCGAGGGAATACGGAACCATCCACGATGACTCTCAATAACGTCTTCCTCTATTGATTGATATCAAATTACTGGTGGCCGGAGAGCCGGTTACTTAATGCTTAACTCAGCACTAAATGACGCGACTTCCCGTGGGCACACCTTAACACGTGCTCTGAACATGCTACCTCATAGCTAGTGGAAAGTTACAGGGGATGATAGGGTATATAAGTCTAATGTAATTAACCCATTTATATAAATAATTTTGCCTATAAGACAGGGGCTAATACATGCTTGTTCATATAAATAGCACCGTAGCTTCGATGCGCTAGAAAGGCAACTGCATGCTTATGGAAACAGTGGTGTCCGTTTTTCAGGGCAATTTAACGCAAATGCATACTGCAAACGTATACCACAAACGCATACTGCAAACGTATACCACAAACGCATACTGCAAACGCATACTGCAAACGTATACCACAAACGTATAACGCAAATGCATACTGCAAACGTATACCACAAATGCATACTGCAAACGTATACCACAAACGCATACTGCAAACGTATGCCGCAAACGCATATATGGAATCCTAGCATAAGACTGACACGTCCCTACGCCTAAGAGAATAAGTACACCTATAGGATTTAACCTAAGTGAGCTGGCAGTGATGAGACTCGAGAATGCGCTGGAGAAGAGACCACCACAGGTTGACATACTTTTATCCTCTTCGCCACTGATCGGCTTGTTAGCCGCTTGGGCGATCGGTCACGTCTCTTTTCATTTATCTTCTTCACCAAAAGACGCGGCTCGCTAGCCGCCCGGGCGATCGGTCAGGTCTCTGTCACGCACTGTTGGCAAATACTGGGCATGCACCGACCAGTGTTGGTCAAGTCTTCTCTTGAAAGAGCTCACACTCAGTGCCGCCACAACACTCTCTGGTAGATTGTTCCAAGAGTTTACAACCCTCACTCCGAAAAAGTTTGCCCTCACGGTTTTCTGGACTTGCGGCTTCTTCAATCTTGAGCTGTTGTAACGACCACGGTCTTACACGTCAGTTAGCGCCAAAATCAAATGATTCATATTACGCTCAATAGCCCACAAAACATGTAACTCGGCTTTCGTTTGAGTCCTCCATCTGAGGAGTCCGTTTTCTCATCACTTCAAGACACCTCAGTCCTCCGTTATCCCATTTTCTCTGACTTACTGAAACCAACCTCTCTATAAAACGAATTTGAGTGTGAGAGAGAACACCCTTGTTTTGAGTCAACTTAGATATGTCTGTTTACAGTGGGAACAGTCAAGATCCATTGTGAGTGGGGTAGAACGCTTCAACTGTCCTTATTGTTCGTAAAACGTGTCAAGTAAGTGAGTGTCGAGTTTGCCAGCTAGAGTGGCGTATTTTATGTCGTCCGTGGGGATATCCATGAGTTTCTGATCGCGCCTGAAGTTATATCATTTTGTCGCCCCGACATCAGAGAATCTGATGTTTATAGTTTAGTTAGTGTCAGTTGTCTATTTAAGAAAGTCATTAATCTCCTGAACTATTCTGTCAACTGGTATAATCTCCAAGATCTAGCGCCTCCCCGTGAATAGCTCCTTGTTCGCCTCAGGCCTTAGCTTGCAGAATTAATGTTATCGACGTGTATATTCCACCTTTTCCTGGCAAACTCAACCTCTGATTAGATTATATGAATAGACATAGGAAATTACCCTGGTCAAGAACACCGGAGTTCATAACTAAGTATACAGTGATCCAAAATGGTAGAGAAGTTACGTTGTTTTGTTGGTAAGATCGACCCTTCTGGTATGAATAAGGAGGCCCAAGCTGCCCCGCGGGTGCACGTATATACCTCTACACGAGGGAGAATCATGCATTCGTGACTCTTCCTCAACATCTCTCCAGGTATGTTAACGTGTGTTCCCCGCTGCCTATTAATTCAGTTTAACTTAGTCAATTTTGGTGAATATCAGTGTTCATGTGTTAACATAGTGAATTCTGTGCCAATTAAGTCGAGTAACGTAGAGATTTAGATGTCGTCTGAACCGTTGCCAGACGTATGTTTTGTATAGTTGAAGTTAGACATTTACGCATTTGTGACTCTTCCTCAACGTCTCTCCAGTGTGTTGAGCTGAATACTCATCGGCTAACGTGGGTCGGTAACCGGGTTGGGCGATGCCGTTCATTCGACAGGATTAAACTGGGAAGTCCGTTTCCTGCAAATCAAGCGCCAGCTCCCTGGGCGTGTGTCGGTCTACAACCGACCCCTAACAGCGATCTTCATTTGTTGTAGAGACCAGCGTTACCCAGGGGCACTCCTCACAGTTACTTTTACTTTTATCCTCTTCGCCACTGATCGGCTTGTTAGCCGCTTGGGCGATCGGTCACGTCTCTTCATTTATATTCTTCACCAAAAGATCGGCTCGCTAGCCGCCCGGGCGATCGGCCACGTCTCTGTCACGCACTGTTGGCAAATACTGGGCATGCACCGGCTCCTGAATGTACCTGAACCCGCTCCAGTGTTG